CTATGAAAAGTTTACAGTACTTTTATTCCAATTTTATGTTTCACATAAGATGATAGATAGATCTTTTATTTTTTACAAAGCAAAGCATGTGAGTCAGCCTTCATTTATAAATTTATAATTTTATCGTATTGACTATAATTCGGATTGTTTAACAACATGTTGGCTTGGATTGTTTCATATTTTAAAGCTGATTGGAGTTATATATTTGAAACTTATTATTTTCATTGGTGGAAATTTTAATTATTATGACAGGAAGATGTGCAGTTGCTCAAGTATATAGGACTCGATGCCTTCAGATTGTCAATTTCTTGGCCTCGATTATTACCTCGTAAGATTAATATGTCAATTAAAATGTAATACTTTTATTAATATTATTTTAATTTCGTTGTGAAAGTATATATGGATTTTGACTAGTGTTCTCTATGTATATACGATTTTTTCAGATGGAAAGTTGAGTAGAGGAGTGAATAAAGAAGGGATTGACTTTTACAACAAAGTCATCAATGATCTTCTTGCAAATGGTACCATTAATTAATCAAATTCACCACATATATATCCTAAACAATTAATATCTTACCAAATTTATCAAAATCTTACTCTTTCACACTAACTTTCTTCATCACAATTTTATCTTTGTACCATGTCAAAAAATGGCATAGGCATAACACCATTTGTGACACTATTTCATTGGGACCTCCCACAAGCCCTAGAAGATGAGTACAAAGGCTTTCTAAGCCCTCTCCTTGTGTAAGTCATATATCCTTCAAGATTATACAATAGCAAATTGAATAATCGATCATTACAAAGACAAATAAATAAATAAATCGACTGATATTGTTCGTATAATGTGCATATACAGAGACGATTTCAGAGACTTCTCGGATCTCTGTTTTAAGGAATTTGGAGATCGTGTCAAGCATTGGATCACGTTTAACGAGCCTTTCACCTTCACAAACGCAGGGTATGATGGGGAATTTATCGGTTCAATGGCTCCGGGAAGGTGCTCGGCTTGCCATCAAGGGAACTCGGCCACCGAGCCATACTTTGTTGCTCATCATCTTCTCCTTAGTCATGCTGCCGTTGTTAAATTGTATAGGGAGAAATATAAGGTCATATATAATTAATTAGCTATATTTTTCTCTATTATAAATTGAAATTGATTTAACATATGAGTCCATGTTAATTACTAATTATTATTAAATTATATTTTTTAATGATTCTACAGGCAACTCAAAAGGGGGAAATAGGGATAACATTGGTGACCCATTGGTTTGTGCCATATTCGAATACAACACTTGATATTAAGGCAGCCCAACGTGCTCTTGATTTTGTCTATGGATGGTAAGTAATTAACTATTAGAAATTGGAATCAAACTAATTGAATAATTTCATTTTTCAATATTAGAATTGTAGTCTTAATGGATTCAATTTTACAAATCCATGAGTCTAACGGTTAGATTGGTTGATTAGATAGAAATAATTTAAAAAATATGCCAATTACATTTAATACAAATGTATAATTTTCTTAACTATTGATCTACCAGCAATCTTACTAATTCAATATCTTATAAAATAGACTTACTTGTATAATTTTTTTTATTTTACTTTCGTGCAGGTTTATTCATCCAGTGGTATATGGGAGTTATCCAAGAAGCATGCAATATCTAGTGAGAGATAGATTACCACAATTCACTGAAGAGCAAATTGCAATGCTAAAAGGCTCATATGATTTCCTAGGACTTAATTACTACACTGGGAATTATGCTGCTCATGTTTTCTCTCATGGTGGAAATATTAGCAGCACAAAGGACAGCAGGACTCGCCTCACAAGTAACTTAATTTAAATTATCAATTTCAAGAATATTTAAGTTTAATATATAAGTAAATATATATGTCTCTTCTTTTTTTTTTTTATTGCTGAAATTGTGTATACATAATAATTTTATATTTATTCTTATTTGATTAATGGGCAGCTGATATCAAAGGTGTACCTATTGGCACTCCAGTAAGTCCCATCAAACACATTTATTTTTTCATTCAAAACAAAAAAAATAAAATAAATTATTTATTATTTTGAATTTTTACTGAATTAACAAAAAAAAAGGATATATCTTGGTTTGATAATTGATTTATTAATTAAATAACTTTTCAGACTGGGGTTCCAATATTCTATAGCTACCCCAAAGGACTTCATGATCTTCTGGTCTACACCAAGAAGTATTACAACAATCCTCCCATTTACATTACAGAAGCTGGTAAATACCTTCCCAATAAATGACACACTCTAGCTAATTAAATATATAATTTACACAAAATCAATAATTTAGCAAGTTTATATTTCTTTATTTATTATTTGTTTCTTATAATTTTAGGCATGGGTGACCAAAAGAAAGAAATCGCACAAGACAACATTAACGATCCACAAAGAGTTGATTTCTACAATCGTCATCTTCATGCTGTTCGTGACGCCATTACGTAAGCACAATTCATTCTCTTACCCAATATTTTTCACCCACAAATTTTCTGTTCGAGTCAGTCTAACTGTTAGACAATTCGACTCGTCAATTTACATCAACAAAAGTACATACTTTTATTTATAATGACTTCTAAAGTATCAGATTTAAGCATTGAAACTATGAACATTTGTAATCAATTTAAAAGTTGTGATTATCTGAACAATTTTGATCACAAAGAAATGTTTACTAGATTTCCATTCAAATCAAAAGCAGCCGGCCAGCGAATCATATTTTGCATAAAAAAAAATATCATACTTATTTCAATTTATTAATGAATTTGCGACTGTAGGGAGGGTGTGAATGTGAAGGGGTTCGTGGCGTGGTCATTTTTGGACAACTTTGAATGGGGATCAGGCTACAGCCAACTGTTTGGGCTTTGCTACGTGGATCGCGAAAATGGGCTCAAAAGGATTCCCAAAAAATCAGCTATTTGGTTCAAGGACTCTCTCAAAAAGAATTAGACTTGCCAACTTGTATCGGCCGAAAGGCCATAACTATGAGAGTAATCTTAAAATGTTGTCTGGATCCTATATAATTTTACCTTTCAATAAAATTTGTACCGTTTTAAACGGTATTGGCCTATTTAATATTCATCACATTTTCTTCAATTTATCTTTCTGTTTGCATAAAGTATTATGACACATTTATGAATAAAATGTTTGAAACAGAAATGAAAGTACAAAATGAAAAACCACAAGAAATTTTGACAGAAAACAATGCATTAACCAAATACTCAATTCAAAACTGTCTAAACAAATGTCAAGTACTAAGAATACAAAGGACTGACCCTATAAAATAATAAGTTTTAAAGCTATGCAAATCCATATGCATTATTCCACTAGCTTAGAATAATAAACAATCAGGTGATTTCACCTCACTACATAACAATAGCTGGAGAAGGTTGATCTTTGGCCATCGGGTAATCATGGGGAAGGGTCAAAAGTGGGGCATCACCCGATAATCCCTTCAGAGCCAAAGCTAAGGAATAACCCAACGCACGAGCAACTGGCATGGCAACTGCATTGCCAATTTGAATGTATCTGGAAAAATTTGACATTCGGAACAGTTTAGAGGCTAAGAATTTGGGTTGCAAGGTGAAAAATGTAGAACTTGAACAGTTTAGAGGCTAAGTATTTGGGTTGCAAGGTAAAAAAAAATGTAGAAATTGAAGTTTAGAAGCTAAGAAATTGGGGTACAACTTGCAAGGTAAAAAATGTAGAAATTGAACAGTTTAGAGGACAAGTATTTGGGTTGCAAGGTGAAAAATGTAAAAACAATAATGTTTACCTTTCCTTCACGGGGCCAAGGAGACGATAGTAATCGGGAAAGCCCTGAAGCCTAGCATTCTCCCGAACACTAAGGACCCGATTTTGAAGGGGGTGTAGAATTGCCTAGACCAAGTTTGAGAATAACAGAAGATTTCAAAGCACAAACAAAAGGTATCGATAAACTTGCTCCAGCTAAATTCAATGTATTACTTATCCACTTACAAAAGTACTAAAATGTTACCTGATTATGAGGTTCAGCACGAGTAACTACAGTTGGTACAGTCTCATCCCACCACAAACGCCCAAATGGCCTGCGTGAATGGCCAAATAAGTAAGTGAGAACGAAGCAATTCATTATCTTAGTAGAACTTTATCAATAAGCTAAATCAAAATAGCAATTGTACTTTGAAGAACGTCCTCCCACAAACGTCATGGCATATTCAGGGACCTGACAAAAAAAAATTATACCGATAAATAAAATTTCTCTACAAGGAACATACAAACATATTTAGCAAAATGTGTTAAAGTAGAATGCGCAATGAAACCTCACCAGAGGCTTCCCAGAAGATACTGTTTTCCTTTCAACAGCCGGGTCCCACTCAACCTTGTTATCCTCACGTACACGAACACCAGGTAAATCCCTGAAATTTGCTCCCTGAAACCAGAAAACAAAGCAAGATGGAGAAAAAGAAAATTAAAAAGGAAAATATAACAAAGTTATGGAGATTTGTTGCAATGTTATTTTGCTCGTTTAAGCAATAATCAATCATACCTTCTTTTTAGGTATTTGACAAACACGCTCATAATCATCCTGATTAAGTTTAAGGGGGCGGTGGTCAAACAAATTATGTTCTGAGTGTTCAGAGTGGAATGCCATACTGCCAGGCATTTCTGTATCAAATAATAAACAACTTATCAAACAAGATGATAGCAAAGATATACGTAAACAGGTTAAAAACTAACCAAACTCATACTTTTCTATGCATCAGATTCAGAAATGACAAAGTAATGACATCGTAGCATAGAGGATTTTTAAAAATTTTGTTCATCCAATTAAAGGCAGCAATATTTTTCACCGAGTAATCAGAAAACTTCAAGTGGTGACAATGGAAATGAGAATATTTAGATTTAAAAAGCCAAGGTTACTAGATGACAGTAGGGGCAAATAGATAAAAGTGTTACTTTGCAGTTTCAGTTTTGCAACCATCAACAGTGAGAGAGAGAGAAAGCAGAAATAAGTTCTTTCTTCCATCACTAAAAGAAACAGAAACTCACCATCCCTCCTTAATCTAATAAACCGCTGGAATTCCGTTTGGGGCTCCGAGCCATAAGGAATCTCATCACGTTTTTCATTGTTCTCAACCTATTTTGAAAGGAATTGAACAATAAAAATCTTGTAAACAGACAATGTAAGAGTACAAGAAACTCGAGAATTGCTTGTACCTTAGGGAGGTCGGATATTGCATCACCAAGGTAAAGTTTTGGCTTGAGACTATTAACTTCTTGTTCTTTCTCATAGGTAACCGGGTTTCCCTACAACACACAATGTTCATACCAAGCTAACAAAACATACAGAAATGACCAAAAGGCAAGAGATTAGCATCCCTTACTTCAAATTCACGTGGGATCACACCTCTGTTTACAACATTATGTGTAGGCAAAGGGTACTGGGGTAACCTCTGTATTGCAATAGACAAGGGAGAGAACTTGAATAACAGACTTGAGACTGTATTTCATTGTCAAGTAAATAGTGCATGAGAGTTCCTATTATATATAAATATATATATATATATATATAAAGTAAATAATATCACCTCAGTTGGAAGTGCACCCCACATGAACATGCGCATGCGGAACTGGGGCAAACCATAAGCACCGGCAGCCATCAGACCCATCCGTGCCTGATAATCCATAGCAATGAGGCGGCCAAGTGCATAACGGAAAAGATAACCGTTACAAAACTTGAGGATGTCAACAACATTCTCCATCAACAAAAATTTAGGCCTCAGATAGTCAACAATATCCATGAAAACATTTAGCTGTTTATTTTTAGGGTCCTCAAGAGGTGCTTCTTTGTTCCTGAATCTGTTGAAGCCACTTATGCCTTGGCATGGAGGTCCACCGCATATCACATCAACAGTACCCTACATGGCATGAAGAAAAATAACTATTATTATGAATCACAGAATATCAAATTTATTTTGTTGGTGAAAAGGCATCTAAAGCTCACAGGTAAAGGCAATATCTTGGACTGATGACCAGCTGTTACAAATCCCTTCACCTTTTCTGGGCAGTCACTAGTGAGTAAAAGTTCGTAGAAAAATGTTAGAAACATAAAGGATCTTTGCAATAATAACATTGCAGCAAGAAAAGTAGAACTTGGGTTTTTGTACCTCAAATTCTCCAAAGGTTCCCAAGTATCTTCTTCTGGGCCATATCCTTTCCATCGAATCTATATATATAGAGTAAATAATGTATTAGACATAAAAATTATAACAAAGTGTGATAGTCAATTAGTTTGTCATAAATAATCCCAATGTGTACTAAGCAACAAGGTCTTTCAGTGCTCAGGCACAAAGAATGAAGGGAAACGTGTACCCTAACATTAAAAATGTCAAAGTGGAAAACTTTTGATAGCTAAGTGGTATGATCACAGTGCTACCCCATTTCTCAATTAACAGTGCCCCATGGTAATTGTCAAACTGCCTTTTATTGGAATAAAATAGTAAAAAGATAATAATGAAGAAAAACTACGCCAGCACAATTCAGTTTCTACTACAAAAGCATAATAAATACTGAATGCATGAGGGTCATAAATAAGCTCACTTAGGTACCTTGAAGTAAAGTTGACGCTTCTTTTGGCTATTAGGAGTTCCATAACAAACTGCGAGAATCTTCTCAACTTCATATATTTCGGAGTCATTATCATCACCACCATCATCATCTTCATCATCTTTCTCCTCATTAGAATTTTCATCATCACCATTCAAGTCATTGCTCCCTGCTGATACATACTTATCACAGAGCTTTTCCCATTCCTTAAGCAGGGCCAAGAAATCCTCAGCAGATTCATTTCTCACCTATTACAAGGATTGATCATGAATTATTTACCAATGGTTGAAGATGGGGTCAATTTCAACCTAACTAGTATTCGATCCTATGCACATGCATAAATAAAAATAAAATTTTATATGTTATATGTGTGTTTATGTAATATTTAAAATCATAAGTTAGATAATAAGTAAGTCACATTTTTATAAACATTATCATTAGTAAAAATGAACAATATAAATATAAACTATTTAACTTACATATTAATCTTTATATTGAAAAAAATAATAATAATTTTGAATAAATAGTTTTAATACTATAGAATAGAATAACGTTTAATGTAACTTTATTATTAGTTAATAGTAGCAATCATATGATAAAAGAAACAAATAATATAGTTGTTTCATTAATGCAAAACTAACAGAAAAAAGGCAGGAAAACAAAAAGACTTTTATTAAATTCTTTGCTAGAAATTTTATAGATATAGTAAGCACCTCAGTTTCAGGATGATTTAACTTGAGGCTTTCACAGGCATTCGGGTTGATATCAACTGCCCATTTCTGCAAAATACATAAAGTTTTCAGGATTGTGTATTGAATAACAAAAAGGTGCAATAACAAAAAGGTGTATTGAATAAATAAGACTTACAGTCACAAGTTTAACACCATTGCTATTGGCACCAAGGCAAAGTCCTGTTGACATGGCACCACATCCAGAGTAAAGATCAAGCATTGTTTTTTCACCATGATGATCTTCCGATTCACAAGATCCCACCGGTAAATCATCAGCATCACTGATGGTAGAACCAGATTCATTGCTGACTGTAGTTGCATCTGCAAACCAGAAAATAATTTGAATAAAATATCCAAGCCAAATTGAGTTGTGGACAATATAACAAGCAAGAACCACAAAGCAAATTAAAAACACGGAGATGGTAGGCTCAATTCTATTACCTGATGGCAAGCTTACGAAAGAAGTAAATGGAATCGAATACTTCTTATCAACATAATAATCATATGTTGACCTCAGCTTCTTCGCGTTACATTCAGCCTGTAACAATGCAGGCACAAAATTATACGTCCACCTCTAATGCTAAAATATGCAAGAAGTGGTTCAATGTATTGAGTCATACCTCAGGAGACAATTTTATAATTTTGAGCTTCTTCACCAGGCAGTCAAGAGGATTGTCATCCATTACTTCAGAAGTGAATATACGCTTCTTGTCGATGAGGTCGCCACAAGTTTTGATATGCTAACAAAGAATAGAAAAAACAAATAAAAAGGAAAAAGAAAAAAATAAACAACAAATCAGGACAATTAAATATTTTAAAATACTGTGAAAAGGGAAAAAAGATATCTCACCGTGTCAGAAGCCCTGTAATACCACTGGGCAGTGAAATTTTTTGAGCCATCAATTGCTTCAAAGAATTCAATAATCTTACAGATGTAATCTTCATTTCCTTCTCCAGCCTGAAGCACAGCATAGTTTGTTATGCACAATACTTAGCAAGATTGTGTAAAAAATAAATTAACCATTAAAAAAATAAAATCTGATAAAGCTCATAAATGCAGATGGAAAAGCATTAGTGAAGAATGCTTGAAGAATACCAAAGAAGCACCAGGCAGTGTTATAATATTTGTGAAGAGAAACAATACTTGAAAGAACCAAGTGAAACACTTACGTTTACATAAGCATCATCTTCCAGGCAGTAAATCTGCCCATCAACGTCTGCTCGAGAAAAATGACGTTTAGCCTGCAATTTATCCTGTAATAATCGAATAACAGACAACGTTTAGTTAGTTCAACTGCTTTTAACTGAAGTATCAACAATCCAATAGCAAACTTTGCTACTTAAAAAACTTCATATACGATTTATTCATTATAACAAAAGTGTGCAAGTGATCAAAAGAGAATTCATTCAATTAGTAATAACTATGCTTCTTAGCACTTAATTTCTAATTCACACAAGAAAAATGAATATGACAAGGGATGAGAATAGGATAGAAACACAATGACATGCCCACAACATATTCCATACCAAAAAGTACAAAATACATGTCCACAGTACCTTGTCAGGTTTGACAACCACAAACAAATCATATGTTTAATAGTTACAACGAGGATAATAAAATATTAGACCTGAGATCCATCTCCTAATACTTAAATTCGGCTCGAGACTTTCTCATCCTTTTCTAAAAATATCACCAATAAATCTTCCTTTTCACCAAAAACCCAAATTGACTTTTTCTCAGATCAGTCATTTCAATCAATTTTAAAATAGACACAATCCTTTCACCAAATATTATATGTTTAACCATCAATTATGAATTATCTATAATCATTATTTGATTATTTAATTTAAAATCAATTATTTATTTCATATTAAGCTCATCCATTCATACCCTCACCAGTTTTACTAAGACAAGAAAAAATTGCTAATAAAGATGCCATGTTCTCCCAAAGTATTTTAACTTGTAAAAATATTCAAATATGATTTGATTGAAATAGAAAAGTATAACAAATGCAACTATTTTGGTCTATCAAAGACCACCACGAAAAAATGCTTCTTACATGATTTTATAAATAGATAGTATGAATCGAGCCAAAAAAATGTACTCAAATGTTTGACAAAATAATAAATATAAAATGTTTGCTATTAAAACTAAAAACTTATTATGTTATGAGTATGTATTTTGATGAAAATTTGTGGTTAAAGCCCTAAAAAGTGTGAGTGAAAAAGGCTTGCTTCTTTGCTAACTTATGCAGCTATCACATCATCATTTTCATGGTCATTTCACTTAATTTAAGGAGAAACAGGAGTATATCAGAGCAGTATGACAAATGAAAACAATAATATTCAGAGAACCTGGATCAAATAAAGGATGACCAATTATACAAGGTGAGAAACAGCGGACAACAATGCACATCCAATTCCTTGTAAAATAAACTAAATGTATTAAATCATATTTATTTACCATCACTTACAACCACTAAAGTTGGAGACCCGGGCAACAATAAGGCCACTAACCATGAACATCAGCTAGGTAACAAAGATTTACATGTTTCACAACAGTTCTATAGTATGATACATGGAATTGAGTGCGCGGGCCAGTGAACTAAACTCCACAAAAATTCAGAATATGATGTTTTATTCCAAACAAATACCAATGGAAAGGGTTTCATATTGTTATCACACTCTTTCAATGGACAAAATAATTCCATGAGACATACACCATATTAAGGAACAAGGACATTCAGCACATTTTACACAAATGATACAAATCCTTAGTAAATCGTCCTAAATATACATAAACAACAGCACATTCGCAAGAAGAAGATAAAGATCAGATTTTTATCGATTTTTACATTAAATTCTTAATTTGAAATATATATTTTGTTCACTTTAAGTATCACAGTTACCTCAGTGTCCACACACATTCACACTCGGCTACCTAGTTGAACAGCCCCATACACTCGCATTTAGCCAAACAACATGTTCAGAAACCATTTTCAAAAACACCCATAAAAATATATAGTATAAAACAACTAATTAAAAGCATTTGTGCGAGTATGCATGTGATAGATAGATAGCGAGAGAGAGAGAGAGAGAGCAAGGGGGGAAGAGAATCTCACATCGTCGTCCAGCGCCGTCCTCGACTTGTACCGGTTGGGCCACCTTGCCTTCGCCTCCTCTTTCGGCAGCGGTTCGCCCAAAAACCGGACCTCACCATCCGCGGCTTCATTCCTTACAACCCTCCGAACCGGAATCCCCGACTCCTCCGCTGCCTCGCCCACCAACTCCCCATCAGATCTGGACTCTCTCCCAACTTCTTCGCCGCCGGATACTTCCTCCGCTACAAACTCATCCTCCTCGTAATCCCCGGCGGACTCCGACGGAATTCTCTTTTTCATCCGATGGCTGTCCTCCGCTGACGCCGGAGCCTCGCCCTTGGTCGCCGATCTGGTCTTCCTCTTTCTCCCCATGGCCGTATGTGGGATGCTCTTGTTCTTCGCCAACGAGGAGTGTGGGGAGTGGTGTGGACTGTGGTGGTAGAGAGAGAAAGTGTGGCGGGGTTTGACTGTGGAAGATAGGGTTTGTGGGGCTTTTTTAAAGGGAGTAATAAATGGTTTGAATTTTTTTGAATGCCTTTTTTTGGCGGGCGGAAAAATGGAAATTTTGGGGTGGTATTCAAGTGATTGGATAGTGTCCTTTGGAGTCCGCGTGAAGTGTTTATTTAGGTTTTTTTACTTTTAGAGAAAAAAATTATACAAAAGGGTACAATTCTTTTTTTTTTTTGCAATTTATATTATTGTTTTTGATGAAATGTAATTTGAATTTAGGAATATTCAAAACATGTCAGATGTTGCAAATTATGAATATGTACAAAGTTCATGTTACATTTTACTTAAAAAAAAATATTATAATTGTGAAACAATGTTTTATCTTTATCTAAAAGTATTCCTATTGTTGACCCAATAATTTAGGTCAGATCATTTGTACTGTTTTCCAGTCTCGTTTTATTTAAGCAATGAGTAACAATTTGCAATAAAATTAGCAATCTTAAGTCATAACATTAAACAAATCAAACATATTAAAAAATTAGAAGCAATTGAATATAGATTGCATATATGTTGGCTTTAAATTACTGTTTATTGGTGAAGTGATTTTCGTCAAAAACTATATATGTGTTTGACTTTAAATGAAGAAAAATGAAACTTTCTTAATTACATTGATTAATTTCAGTGGCTTAATTTTTCTATCGGGAGACGTTGATTAATTTTTCTATTTAGTCTCTAATTATTATTTTCCATGATTTTTTTTAATACATAAACTTTTAGTAGTTCGAGACGTGATTTTTGCGATGAAAATACTTTATCCACATCAAATATTGGTGTTGTGTTCGAAACCAAGTTTTTCCGAAAACGTTGATTAATTTTGTTATTTTGGTCTCTAATTACTATTTTCCATGATTTTTTTCAATACTTAAACTTTTGTTTCGAAACATGATTTTTGCGATAAAAATATGTTATCCATATCAAATGTTGGTGTTGTGTTTGACCCCATCGCAACCATCATGGAAAACACGTATCCAATGGTTAAAGATTGCATGATGATCTCATATATTTGAAAGATAGGACTATATTACCTCTGTTGAATCCATCAATGAATATATGTCATCTTTGAATATATCGGATGGTAATACTTATTTAAGTTCTGATACCACATGCAAATCCGATGGTGGTGATGATTTCTTGCATGACCTCCACACGCCGGAGTTCTTAAATAGTATAAAATGTTATGGTGTTCCAAATCATGAATTGCACTTAAAGGTTGAGACTCCTGTCATGTTGTTGAGAAACATTGACCATTCGATTGGACTGTGTAATGGAACACGCTTGGGGATAACGAAGCTTAGCACTCACGTGCTTGAATGTAAGATTCTAACAGGATCAAATGCTAGACATAAGGTATTGGTACCAAGACTTTCCCTAACTCCATTTGATCTCAGGATACCCTTCAAGTTCCAGCGTAGACAATTTCTTCTTATGGTTTCTTACGCAATGACAATCAACAAGAGTCAAGGGCAGTCGTTATCCCATGTCGGACTTTACTTGAAAAGACTCGTGTATAGTCATGGTCAATTATACATTGTTGTGTCTCGAGTTACTAATCCACAAGGATTGAAGATATTAATATGTGGGGAGGATAATGGGGAAAAGAAAACTACTAAAAATGTTTTCTATCGATAAGTTTTCGACAATTTGTAATACCATACAATATTGTACTTTTACTATCTATTCAATAATAATGTTATTTAATTGTCATTATTTTTTATGATATATATATATATATATATTAATATATTTATTAAAATATTTTAATAAATATGTCCCGTGCATCGCACGGGTGAGGATACTAGTTAATTGTTTATTGGTGAAGTGATTTTCGTCAAAAACTATATATGTGTTTGACTTTAAATGAAGAAAAATGAAACTTTCTTAATTACATTGATTAATTTCAGTGGCTTAGGGCGTGCTTGTTTATGAAATATTTCATTCAAAATGAGTTATTTTAGTTAATTAGAGTTAATTTTGAAAAAGGTAGTATGGTTAATTGTTAGTGGGATTTTAAGAATGTATTAAAATAATATTTAAAATAAAATGATTAAATTTGATTTGATGTAAAAGTAAGAGATAAATGATTGGAAATGATTAGAAATGATAAGTAGTTAAAATTATGTGAGTGGATGAATAGTGAATTAAAGTTGATGTGATGTTAGAATGATTGATTTGTATTATTGAATTATATGAATAATATTAAAGATAATGGAGTTGGGTTAAAGTTGAGTTAGATTTTGAGTATGAATTGGATTGAAAATGAAATAATTTGTAAACAAGCATGCCCTTAATAAGGGCCCCTTTTGCGATTGGCTTCAAAATTTTAAAGGAAACAAGCCATCATCACATATTTCATGGGCATTTCCATGTTTGGGATGAACCTGTCCTTTTTTCTAGGTTGGGGCACAAAATCTCTTGTTTAAGGAATGGCCCATCACAAATATCTTGTGCAATATTTTAGCAATCACTAAAGCATGTATGTAAATTAGCCTTTTGTTTTTGTGACACAAAATTATCTTTCATGAGCTTAGCTCGTTAAAGACTCGACAATAGATCTATTTTTTTGTTATTTTTTTTTAATTTACTTAGTTTATTTATTCTAATTTGTTAAAATTAATAAATGGGTCAAAAAAATCCAAACTCGTTTAGTTAAAGAGTCAAGCTCGACTCAACCTGACCTCGAGTATCAAAAGCTCGAAATCGAACACAATTTAACTTATGTACAAAATAAAAAATGTTATTAAATAGTATTGACAATTATACCACCCTAAATGAACTAAAATTAATCAAAAACTTGGTTTTGATTAAATTAAAATTTACAACATGGGACCGAAGGCTCCAATTCCAAATTTCAACCTTAACAACTAAANTGTCTAGATTAAATAAATAAATAAAAGAAGAAATGAAAAAACCCGTCTCGGACCACATACGAGAGAAAACGAATAAAGGTTACTCGGCTAAAAAACATTTGGTCAGCACCCCAAACAAGAAAAATCTCTCCTTTGATGCTATCTTGAATTCGCCACCAATGTGTAAGTTTCTTTTGAAGCATATGGCCATAATGGCGAAAGGGCAACGACTTTCCCTATGATGATCAAAGTCGGGGACACCAGCTCGTTCGATGCGATCTCATTCGCAAGGTCCTTTAAATCAGCAAACACCTAAAATATGGGTCGTTAAAACAAAAGTTAAATGATTTGGATATTAGGCAAGCATAGTTCTTAATTGTTTTGAATATTAGGCAAGCATAGTTCTTTTAATCTTAATGTCTCGGTATATGTATTTGTATGTGTGGGGTGAAAAAACTTAAAAACTAGTACAAATTATGCTTCATCTTGTATGAAATTCAATTTACATATACTCCTATACAACCCTTGAAATAAGCATCTTCTTCGCAAATGTCACCTATGTAGAGAGAAATTCAATTTACACATAGGCTAGCTTTAAGTTGTTTTCGAGCTTATAGCTAAAAAGCTAGCTTATATGATAAAAGTGTTTGGTAGAATTACAGTTGATAAGCTAGCTGAAATAAAAATTTCAACAAGCATATCTGAAAAGCTGCCCAAAGAAGCTAATGAGATAAGCTGGAGTTTTTTTAAAAAAAACTCGTCCCTACCAAACGAAAAGCTTATTTGAATACAGGAATCTTATAAGCTAACAAAATAAGCTATAAGCTAGCTTATCTGGTTACCCAACATAGCTTATATAGTCCTATACAAACCATTTTCTTTTTAAAATTAAGCTAAACATAAAGGGGGTGGTTCTTGAAATGATCCTTTTTTGGGTTCACATTTGTCGAATAAAAATACAAATAAATAAATAAATTTGCTTACAATGCGCTGTTGAGGAGTAGTTCCTCGCTCGACAGCCGCTGCTGGGGTGTCACCCGGCAAACCACACCTCATCAGCTTCAAAGAGAGAGAAGGTAATGTTGATAAACCCATGTAGACGACAAGTGTAGAGTCGGGATCTGCCGCATGCTCGCCCACGAAAAGAGGCTCTGTACCTCCCTTTCTCGAGTGGCCCGTCAGAAATCTTACACTGTTTGCCACCCCGCGGTGAGTCAGCGGGATTCCTAGCTCCGCAGATATTCCGGAAGCAGCTGTTATGCCTGTCACAACCGAGCAAATATATCAGATGATCATTTTTTTATTTGTAATTATACACAATTTTTTATAAACCTCATCAAATGAAGTCCCCCCAACTCTGAGCAAAAAAAGCACGGAGTAAATTAAAGAATGTCTTATGGAACTCTTTAACCAAAATTATAAAAATATAAATGGAGAAAAGTGCGACTAATTTATTCCAGAAACTAAAAATGTACCTGGAATGACTTTAACTTCAATTCCTTGTTGTTGCAGAAAGTCCATCTCCTCTCCACCCCTTCCAAATACCTTAAATATAAACACTTGTTCATCTCATCATCTATTTCGTAAAAAATTCATTGTGCTATCTATAATTTTTGCACTCCATAGACAAAAGAAGGAAAAGCCAAAANAAAAAAAAAAAAAAGATAAAGATCGTCAAACTTACCAAGGGATCCCCACCTTTAAGCCTTACAACACTTGCCCCAGCCTCGGCAAAGCTCAAAAGCAGCTCATGAATTTCCTCCTGCTCAAATCTTCAACTATAAATATTTTTTTTTTTCCAATGAGAAAATAGAGCATTTCAAGTTTTTAAGTGTTAAGCCGCGAAATGAAGTGAAATGTACATGCATACTTCAGGCAATCTTATACATTTTTCGGCATGTTAAAAAAATTGCCATTTAGAACTACATTATGTGCATCACTGGGTGCACTAAAGAAAATGGATTCGGCCTGCATTGAACAATTCTCTTGTTCTAAACACTAATCGCATAACCGAAGGTCATGACAAAACATATCAACACTTGCACCATCTCTACCCATTGAAATTTCCATTCCATACAAGCTAAAAAGTCATTTCACTAACATATCATTCACTTACATTTTTGGCAGCAAAAATGATAGCTTTTAAGGCACCCAGATTATATGTAAACAATCAACACATCATCAACAACACGAACACGAAATCAGTGAACGTATCCCCATTTCGGTAAAGATTGCATTCTCATAGGGAGTCTCCACTCCAACAAGGGGTCATTCGATAAAGACTCTTCGCTTAAAATTCCTTATCATCCACACATGAGCAAGCATGGATTTACGAGTTAAAGGAAGACCAGTAGGAAAACCAGTAGCAGTAGGAAGATCAATCCGTACGAACTAGACAAGAAAGTAGGCAAAGAGGTACAAGCGAGTTAGTACAAAGGAGGGACTTTACTCCGAATAAGCCCCATATCCAGTAAAGGGGATAGAAAGGTATTACAAGTGGTGGTTGACTCTTGATTCAATTCATCTGCACTGCTATCCCATTCCCCTAAGAGCAAAGATAGACGGTAAACCATAAGAACGAAGCGAAGCGAAGGGAAGTCCTGGAAGTGAGGGGCTTAGAAATTCGGAGAGAGGTATCTTTCTGAATCATGTTTCATTACCTATTACGACATGCCAGAAATCACGAATAAAAGGAAAAACGAATTAAAAAACTCAGAGTAACAACAGATTTCCTAAACCAGAAAACTAACATCTCCCCTTCATTAAAGTGTAAAAAGAAAAATGAAAAAAGAAAAGAAACAGAACCAACCTGAGTTCTGCTATGGTACCCAGCCGTCTTCCCAACATACAGAAGCTTAGCATTGGGCCCAACCAAATCCAGCACGTCATTAGACACCAACCTATCATACAGTAAAAGATCAGCATTTTTTATCACTCTCAACGCCTTAAGGGTTAGCAATTCCGGGTCCCCAGGCCCGGTCCCCACCAAGAACACGTTCCCCGGGCCCTTCCCGTGGGGACCACCTCCATCCCCCCTCTTCTCCCTAAGCACATCGAGCAATTTCTTCAGCTCCGGCAGCTGCAGAGCTATGTCGTAGTCCCTGACGGCCTCCCGGTCGGGCGGCAGCGGGCAGGAGGACGAGGGCTGCTGCTGCTGCAGGTGGTCCTTGTACGCCCAGCTGTCCCTGTGGTACCTCTCGGCCGAGTGCTTCTCCGTGAACGGCGATTTTGAAGCGCAGCTGACGGCGAAAACTGGTTTGAGGTTGAAAAACTTGGCTCTCTTCGTGGATTGGAAATGTGGGGATGTTGTACAAGAAGAGGAAGATGGGAGTCGGCTCAAATTGGCCATGCTGAATTTTTGCCAAAGTTGTTTACACTTACGATTTTGAAGTGCAGGCAATAATCTCGTACTTGGAGCTGGTAAAGATTGCGCCTTTATTTGTATACTGTGTGTGTGTGTGTCAATCGGTGTACAGCTGTATTGAGGGGAAAAAACAGAAGGGCTGTTCAGTAATCTCTTTCTCTCTCACACATACACACACAGAGACAGAGCTTTACGGGGTGTGGAGAAGGCAAACTGCAAATGCAGTTCTAGCTTTTGGGATGCTGATAAAGACGGGGACTTTTTCGGTGTTTCCTTCTGGTGACCTCAGGTGGACTTGTTCAATTACAACTAATATTGGGGGTCAATTTGAGAAATAAAGAAATAGATTTTGGGCCTTTGGCGGCTATCAATTGTAAGTTTTGGATATAGGGCCAACCAGTTGTGGGCTTACTGATGACCTATAATTGAGCTTATAATTAAAAATATACGTGGTGAAATTTTTTCTTTATCATAAATGCGTACAACTTACGAGAGCTGCTGGCACAACATTCGATTTTCTTGCAAAAGGTGAAACCTTTGAACAAAAAACTCTCAAAATATCGCCAAAGTTTTTGTCCAAGAAAATGCCGATGAAGGTTCTTGATGCCACTGTGGAGAATTTTCAAGACGTGTTTGAGGAATTTAAGAGTGAAGCCCCAAATAACAAGGCGAATCTCATACTTTTCTTGGCTGATAAAGATCCTTCGACCAATCTCAGTTGGTGCCCTGGTACGCATTTACTCCTCACTGCGTTTTTATTTTACGTATGTTCTGCAAGTGGGTCTGTTTGATTTGGTTTGGTAATTTTTAGTTGTTAAACAGTGTGAATTCGGGGTGAAGCCCTTCTGAAAGATTGATGTGCAAGCGTGGAAATTTTTGAGTGATGAGATTTTGTAGTTTTTATGTTCTATTGATTCCTGTTGTTCTTTAGTGATGAGAGTTATCAGTCCATTATGTGGCACTATTGTTTTTTCTTGTTATCTAGTTTATTTAATCATTGATATGGTAATAAGTCAAAATTTAACAAGAATTTTATTTATTTCATGTTCTAATCTTGTAAATTCATTTGTTGTGGCCTGTGGGTGTGTGACTATGAAGACTGAAATCTGATATATAGTTTATGCATACCACTTAGCTTTTTTTACTTTTGAGTTTGTGAGATAGACATAAAAGAATCAATCTTTATATCCATTTTTCACCAGGGCTTGATCTTATTTTGTATTGGTGCTTGTAGCACACTTCATTCAGCTAAAATTTAAAATTTTGTTAATCAATTTCGGTTTATATGATCTGTTCGGATGAAGTTTCACATTACGATTGTAATTCCTATTTACTCATTGTATGTTACTTTAAAAATTGTATGTTGACATGATCAGTACACATTAAAAGAAATCGAGTAATTAATAGTGTACGTTTTGGAGGGAGTTGGATTATATTTGAAAATGACATTCTTCCACATAAAAGCACACAATCACATTGTAGTAGCATTTTCTACGTGTAATCTTTTATCCTCGAAAAAGGAAATAGCGAATAAAAGTTGCTCTCGACTTGGTTCTTTTCTCAAAATCTTTCCTTTTTTTTTTTTCGAGTATCAATTTCTGTGAAGGAACTTTACGAACTTTATTGTTCTACTTCAGATTGTGTAAGAGCCGAACCAGTGATATACAATAAACTCGAAGCTTGGCCTGAAAATGTGGCTCTTTTGAAGGCATATGTTGGGGATAGGCCGACTTGGAGAAACCCACTGCACCCTTTGAGGACTGACTCAATTTTCAAGCTTAGAGGGGTCCCGACTTTGGTTCGATGGGAAAATGGAGGCATCAAAGGCCGTCTTGAAGACAATGAAGCCCATTTGGAGAACAAAATTCACACCCTTCTTTCTGGAAATTAAATAATTTTCTTCATTTTTATTTTATTTTATTTTTTTGTTTGGAGGTTTTTGAAGACAATGTGTGTTCTTGTGCTAATAAAGTTGGAAACTTTATTTCAGTGAGGTGCTGTTGGTCTTGGATACATGTAGCTTGAAAGATGATGGCTTTTCTTGTTTTTTTATTTCATTTCATTTTGTTATCTTTTTTTTTTTTGCATNTTCTTCACTGATATTTCACCTGAAAGATGCTTCACTTGAAATATCAATGATATACCTTGTTAATATATTATGAATATATATTATATTTTAAATAATCTTCAAATTACATCATATTAATTAATATATATTATATAAATGTAAATTGTAAAGTATATTTGAAAATTAATATAAAGAAATTAATCATTTTACACCAGACACCCTAAGCACTAGGTCCCAATTCTTGCTTAACAAGCATCTAACCACTTTTATAACCTTAGTTAAATAGGTTTCAATTGTCATGCCAATAACAATTGATGATAATATAATGTAGTAAAAATTAAAACCAGCCATTTCATCAATAAACAGCAAGACCATAGTATAGCAAAAGTTCAGACATTGCTGATTGCCCATTAACCATCCACAAAATTACAAAAATACATAATCAAAATTAATGCCAAAGCCACCATAGACATTACACCATTACATGCTTATTAGTTCAACACCATATAATCTGCCCCAACTACATGTAAAACCCTTCAGATACTGGTTATATCCTGAAATTACATAAAGATTATCCAAAAAACATACAAAAATAGCTGGAGAGAACATTATAATTTAGCACAACCATTTCATGAGCAAAAATTCTTCTGGGGCAGAATTATTTCTGTTATACATACACACCTGCATAACNAATAGCTATAACACATTTGATATTTAGACCGGAAATTTTCCCCTGGAGAGCTTAGGCGTCACTTTCAACGTGATATCACCGTACGGAGTCTCTTGACGTGCATCTACAAGCCCATGAGTTTTCAAGACCTGCAAAGTTATAAAAACCTCAGATCAATAAGTCTTAATGTTTTTTTAAATGACAGTTAATTGTTATAAAACCTCAGATGAACATTGGATTTTCATTTTTAAAAATGCATCTGCCCACAAGTAAACATACTATGAACAAGCTTTTCTAAAATAATACGCGATCAAGAAGCATACTGAAAGCTGCTGCTCATAAAACTACTATTCAAATGTTTATATGCAGTTCGTTCGAAAAGGGAGGAATCTAGCACTTACCAAAGTCTCGAAGAACATTCGGGCACATACTTTTCTAGGCTTGCCTTGAAGAATCTTGTCCAAACTCAATTCTTCGGGTTGTTCGTCTGTATTTTCTGGGGTAGGCCTTACCGATGACTGCCTTTGCAAATACTGGGCCACGGCCCTACAGGACAATCAAACATAAAAGATCAAATACAAGATTGATTAAAGGAAGTTTACAATGTAATATATATAGGATATTTACCTTGCTCGTGAAGACAATGCCTGCAGCTCTGGAGTTTCTTGATTCTGTGGAAAGTTTATAGCTTTGGGTGTTCCTTGCAATTCTATTTGAATTAAATGTAAGAAAACTCAGGCCTTAGCCATCGATTGTTGAAGAATAATTTCCATAAAGAAAAAGACCATGAAAACAAAATGCAAAATCTCAAATTATGCAAATATTACCAGCTGGAGAATTGTCATCTTGTTCGAGAAACCCAAGCTCCTGTAACAGAAGAAAATGAACCAGCATATCAGAGAAAATAGCCATAAAAAGCACATTAAAAGGAAGTGAAAGATGAATAAACAAGCTTTGATGATAAAAAGTTGTTTATTAAGCAGCAACAAAAGACAACTGCAGATTAAATGAACTTAATGACTAATGTGAAAAATATATTCACACACATAGGATGATAGTAAATAAAATAAAATATATATATAAACATACCCCAGCAGAAGGCACAAGCTCAGGAATATCAGACAGAGTTGTGTGCTCAGCTCGAAATCCCATACTGTCGAATGTTTCTGGGGTTTGCATATCAGAGTCGAAATTTCCAGATGGGCCCACGTCCCCTGTGGGCAGCCGATCGTCCCCTTCAGTGGCTTCCACATGTTCTAAAACCGAGCCCAATTTGGAATTATCGGGAGTGAAATAATTTTTGTCACCCGGAGAAGGCACAGCCATGGAGAAAGATAGGAGGTGATTATCTGGCGAGGGGCATTCGTTATTACGTAGAGTTTCAATCTCGACACTTGGCATGTCTGGATTGGTTTCTTGAGTGGGGTCTAATTGGAATTTGGCAGGGATTATTATGTTTTCTTTATATACATCTCGCAAATCGGCACAAGCTCCTGAAGAAAATAGTAAGCTTTCGTTTAGATGAAAACTGAAAGGCAACATTAAGATACATTAAGCAATGAATAAATAGAAAATATGCTGGACCATTTATGAAGGGCTCAAAAATAGAATCTTTATTTCTTAATCGTAGCATGTTGTTGTGTTTCCAGATGGACAGTGAAGATGAAGGGCAGTTTCTCTTAATCCGAAGGATATCGCTCGTGTCGTCTAGAGCAGCTTTGACTTGCCTGAATTTGAATACAAATATTAAAAAAGGAAAATAGTTTAAATTGCATGTTGTTAAAAAGATCAAAGTTCACCTTCACATTTATTTTTTCTTAATTGAGAATAACACATATATGTTTGGAAAAAAGCAGCCAAAAAAAATAGAAAACCTTACTCGTTGCTCAGTACTGTGACCTCATCGAAAAACTGTTTCCTCTTTCTCCTTACTCTCTGTTGCAAAACAAGTGGACTTTGCCGGATTTCCATTTCTGGCGTCTGGTGGACTGANAAATTATAATATAGACAATAATCAATCTAATTATAATTATAATAATAATAATAATAATAATAATAATAATAATAGAAAAAAAAAATGATGATCACAAAGTTGCACCCACCAAAAGGAGTTGGGGAGTTCAATCGTCCGAGCGAATGCTGCTCTTCTTCAAGAACATTATTATGGGGAGATGAAAAACGAGCATCAAGCAACGGCATTTCTTCAGTAGCCGGAGTAAGAATCTCCTTATCTTTAGTGATTTGCTCCTCAAGAAATTTATCAGGGGCCGCACGATCTGGCAGTATAGGGGAATTGTTGAAATCGAAATTATGGGCCGCATCACGCATGATTTCAATACTCGGTGATTCTTTTTGAGGAGTTCTATTTTCAATATTTGTGTCATCAGCCCCTATAGGATTACTGGAAGATGGATCATTCAAATCGCCAGGTGTATCGACTTGAATTGTAGGAGGGACACTACATATAGTAGAATTTCAATTACAATTTCACCGAGTGAAAGAAAAAAAATATGGCTGTTGAATTAACTTTTGATAAGGATTGCAGAAAATTTTACTCTTCGTCCATTGGAGTGGGCCCAGTTTCCGAATGATGTTCGGTTTGTGATGTATCCCTTAGATCCTGCTTCAATGGAGAAACAATTTTCAATGCAAGATTCAATAGGCTCTTAAAAAAGCATGAAATTCAAAAATAAAAGATGTGGTGGCACCTTGTCAAAAGTGATGACAATATATGGATCTTTTCCAGTAGGAATTTGCTCTGTGGCATAGCATACCAAATAGTTAACATTTGCGAGATCGAACAAAAAAGGTACAGATCATTTTTTATATAAAAAAAAAAAGAAAAAGGAAAAATCAAATGTAAGCTGTCATTGCAATATCATTACCTGTCATAGTTATGTCATCCCAGCTCTTAAAATGAGAATCCTCACCCCTGAAAAGAACAAAATCCTTCAATTCTTTAAAATGTGTAGCTTGACAAAGAACAATTACAAGTCAGTTTTTAACCCAATTACATACCAGTCCTTAAAACGATCATCCAATTCCAAGGTGTCAAGATTAAATTTTTCTGGCAGAGTTACGGCCTGAACCTGCGCATGAGTCGCGTCATTTGGAAGATTGAGGTTCACAGTTGTGTAGACCCTATTTATTGTGATCCGTACTTCATTGCAGTCTTCATAAAGATAGTCGACTTGTTTGGAGTATATCCGAACAACTCCAAGCAAAAGATGGCCAGACAATCTCAGGGCAATCGGCACTTCAGGGTACATGATTCGTTCTGCAAAAAAGCAAGTGCCGAAAAATATATTCGATTTCTCAAAAAGGAAAAAAAAAAGTATCATGTTGATGACTATGTGTCATAAGACAGCAATAAATACCCACGGGATATAAGTGATTTTCAAAGATGGTTTATTTTTAATTGATTAGACTATGCATCAAGAGTATATGTTTCATATTAATCTTTAAAGTTATTAAGAGGCAGCATAAGTTTGACTCTGTTGATGAACTTACAAGACTGCCCAACTGTGAACAAAGAAAAGGAAAACAACAACTAAGCAGATATTATTTAGTGGGTCTGAAAGACGCTGAATACAAGAATAAGAAAAACTGTCCCGTTTCTCAGCATCGAGAGATTGTCATATACCTTAGAATATCAAATGATTTGTAGGTTGAATTAAAACAAAAGAAAGCATCAGCCAAAAGTATGACACAAGAAGTTCAAAGGATCCACAATGATGTGTACTTTGAAAATGGCTAGCATAAAAATATATCAACCTTTACATGAGGGACCAATCATCATTACAATGACACATCATACATTACTGATAGGACTAAGGCAATCATGAATCGGTTATTACAGGCTACACCTTAATCACTCAAGATAGAAGGCAATCAAGAATCATGTACGAAAAAGATGCAGAACAAACACTCCAAGCCCATGCTCACAGAAAATTGGATTATGCGTAAAAGAATGAAATTCCATGACCTTGTAAAGGACAACATTTTGATGGGCAATTAGTACATTCTTACTTTCTATGATACAAACTATGGATCTTTGGAACAACATTAGCATCTTGCCAAAAAGCCAGTGAAAGTAAAAGCGAAAGAAACTCAAAATTCTAGTAAATTCATAAATCAAATTCGTGAAAACTAAGGTAAAACAGATGGTAATAGAAAAACATGGAGTAAATATATCCAAGTCAATGGGTAAAACAAATAATCTTTAAGACCTATTCAATCCACATAGCATCAGTTAAAAAAGAAAACAAAAGAAGTCATATAGAAGCCTTTACTCCAAGATTGAACTTTTCAGTACATATAACGAATCCAATCAATTAGACAACCCCAGACAACAAAATCAAGATCTTTAACTTCTCACATCAACATCCGACATTTTTAGCCGAACCCTATGAATCAAGATTCAATTTTTAACATTTTAATTTCACTCAACGAGCACAATAAACAAGAGAAACAAATAAAACAAAAACACTATAACTCGCTCTCCTGGTTCTCCCATCCTCCCCAAAAACAAACAAATCAAGAGTCAAAATCAAATACTTAAGTGAGCCCACATATTATAAATACGCAAATATCAGAGTAAACCCATCGAATACTCACCGACGGTGGAGGGGACGTTGGTTGAGAGGTACTGCGGCTTTCTGAGCTTGTGCTGCAAATGGGCCGCGCACCAAACGACGCCCAACGGGCCCTTTCTCGCCAAGAAAGTGTTCGAATAAAACATCTCCTTCTTCTACACACTTCGAATTAGCAGCAGCCCTGTACGTACATAAACATATATATCTGTAAATATCCGTATGTGTAAGAGAGGCTGAGAGAGGGCGAGTGTTAGGGAAGGGGTTTTGAAGGGATTAGCGGGAAAGGGAAAGAGGCGCGAAACAGAAAAATTTTAGGCGATTTCCCTTGCAGGTTACTAGTTGAGCCCCTGTTTTACTGTTATTTACGATAATGCCATAACTTACGTGGCGGCTTCTCAAGTACGTTACTGCTTGCAGCGTCGCACGTGGGGAGGGAAGTGGGAACGTGTGCCTGAATTTTTTGGGGGGCTTGTACAATGTCGATGGGCCGATTGTAAATAGGTCCAGTTTTGTGGGTCACTCAACTGGGCCAACGAGTTTGGCCCAATTATATATATCAATTTGGAGATTCGTTACGATGTAATTAATTAAAATTGGATTTGGATGGAATACGAGTGTGATTATAATTTTTGAATATCATGATTTCTTGGCTTAGGCGACCTAATGATTAGACAGATCAACTTTTCATGCTCTTTGAATAAAAATTAGTACGTAACCCGTGCGATGCACGGGATGTAAAATTTGAAATAATAATATAACATGTGCATTAGGATCGAAATTGAAATCATTAAAATACATAGGAACATTGTTAAATCATAAAAAGTTCGGTAACAATCATATATTATTAAAAATCTCCTTGTACACAACATTATGAGTTTGATTATTTGGTAACTCCTCATTATCACAAACTAATATTTTGAAAAGAGACAAATCCTAAAAACCAAACTAATATTTTTGGTGAACAAACTAATATTTTAGGATTGGTGAACAAACTAATATTTTAGGATTTCTAAGATTTGTCTCTTTTTGGTGAACAAACTAATATTTTAGGATTGGTTATATGAATAAGGCTACCTGTTTTTTGTGTTTTTTCATTAATTTTCATTCAAACAATCCGATGACTTGTATAATGAAATCCGAATCTTAAGCCGAAATATTTGAAAAAAGAATTTTTAAAAATTGAAAAGTCAAGGCAATCAGTTCAGATTAATTAAAGGTCAAAGAATATCCGCTCCTTGATATAAGACGTGTGCTATCATTAACCAAATATCCGGTTATTGATATAGAGTGGTTACCAAAAAAATAGAACGCGATAAGGACACTTCATGAAAATATCAATGGGATAAGGTCGATCGCTATACATTTTAACGATAAAAGCTCATATGGAATGATTTATGATAATTATGTCGTAATTATTGAATTAATTAGATGTATGAAAGACATAATTAAGGAGAAGTGTGAAAAAAACATAATTAATGAGAAGTGTGAAAAGGACATACTTAATGAGAAGTGTGAAAATGAGATAATTAATGAGAAATGTGAAAAGGACAAAAACTTACCGGATTTGGAAAATATTTAATGCAAATCTGACATTGACCATAATTTGACCTACTTTTTTGGATAAATGTTAATTCTTATTATATAAGTATAGATACATACATTAAAAAAATTCATATTTATGTTTATGTTGCTTTTCAAAGAGTGACGATCGTATATGAAAGTTCTTATATTTCGTTGAATATAATTTCTATGTACAAGTGAGATTATGTTCACAGAAAGTTTTCATTTAATATGAAAAGCTTGGTGGTATCCTTCCATTTCGATTTTTTTAAAAAACATTAAGCATCAATGAATATTACAATCATTTGGCAAGATAAAAACACATCATCATTCATTCATCCTCATCATTACACAAAATTATTCTCATTTTCCAGTATTTCAAAGAGAAAAAGTCTATTTGTTCATCGTTTCTTGTGTGTTTTCACATTTACATGAATTCATACTTATTCATAATACACACAACTATTCTTATTCCTCAATATTTCAAAGAGAGCAAGTCTCTTTGTTCATCCTTTCTTGTGTGTAATGTATTTTCGATTTGTATGCATGCCAACAATCACTGCTAAAAAACGGGTCTTTGCAGTCGAAAAACAATCCGTTAACATAACATGACCGAAATAGCAAGTAATCTAATAATACATCAACTCGAAGACAACAGCTTGAGCTAAACCTATATAAACCCCTCAATAACACAAAACAGCATAGCCAATATTAACTTCCCTAAACAAAATACATGCAGAAAACAAGCAAGGTCACTTCAAGTTCACACCAGCCGAGCATTTTCAGATCTTAAATACAAAAAACGAAACAGCCAAGTTCCTAACACAATAAACCTTCTATGCTTTATTAACACGGATTTTTTGACCTTCAAGTACCTGCACAAAGAGAAAACAGAAAACTTACAAAAATAAATGGTGAATATCACCTCAAGTTTGTGTTTATGTTATACATTCTCATAGGACAGCAAGAAAACGAAATATATGTTTTATTCAGACAATATTGGATGCCTTAAAATGGGAAAAAGGGAGAAAAGATGCACTTACCGCATTATTAAGAGACGATATGGCAGCCTCGACATCACCTTCCGAACCAAAAGAAACAAAACCATAGCCACTCGATTTCGAAGTCCCGGGAACTCTCGATATCTTTGCACCGAGAACTTTCCCTTTCTCGGCAAAGAAACTTTTTAGTGCATCTGTAGTTACTGTTTTCGCGAGATTACCCACATAAACCTTGTATGGACTGTCCACAAACTGAGATTCTTCAGCTTGAAGAACTGACAGATCCAAAGGCGCCAGAGGTTTCTCGGTTATATTTACTTTTATTTTGCGTCCTCCGATTTCCTATTACATTNAGGGAGGGGCAAATGGTAAATTGAGCAAACAACACCAACCACCACAAGATTGGAAAAAATCCAGTTACTCCTCAAAGCGTTACAAAACAGCAATATGATTATATTCACTTAACAAACAAAAATACACACACACACACAAACATACACCTCTTAGAGGATGCAAATTGAAGAAGATAAAATAATGTGAATGGGATATCTTGAGCTCAAAAGGTATCCAAGCTTACATGCAATTAAGCTAAAAAATTGGAAATAATTAAAATTTACGCCAAAAAGATACCAACTTACTGTGTCATTTAGCTTTTCGGTAACAGCACTCGCATCCTCAACAGTCTTCATCGTGACAAACGCGAAGCGCCTGCTCCTTTTGGAGTATTTGTCATACATTACCTATGAACACAAGGCAAGGAAACTTTATCTTGAACAGTTATTCAAATGTTTATGGAACATTGTATATTCAGTACTTTTCAAGCCATAAAGTAGCTCTTCAAGTAAAGCATAACCAGCTTCAGGAAATCACAAAACAGGAAAACCTTTAATGCATTACCTAAATTTGGGATTGTTATTAAGCAGCATTCAATTTTTTACCAATTGTACATAGACACCAATAATGATAAATATTAAACCATGAAACAATCTTGCTTAAAGAGGGGATCAATTCATTTTCAGTTCTTTTACAAACTCTCTGTGCTGATTTATAATTCAACTCAATGATATGCTATAGCATTCTTTCAAGTCCTCAATAGTATACTGTTTTAACATTTACACATACATGACCTAAAAATCAACATACAACTCAATCCACTCAAGCACACACCCATGGAATCAAAGAACACCAATAATTTATCTCCACCAACGCCACCATAAAATATTCCAAAAAGAAGGGCAAAAAAGGAAAACCTCAGCCTTCTCGACAGCGCCATGTTCTTCAACGATTTTCTGGAGCTCTTCATTGGTGACGGTCCTCGGGATATTCCCGATGTACAATCTTCTCGCGGCCACAGACGAGGGGTCCGCCGTAGCTACTGAAGCCGCCTCGGACACTGCATTCAGTCTTGCGCCGGCGGGTTTTAGGCGGAGGGATAGGGGTTTTGGGGTCTGGAAAATGAGGTTTGAGAGATGGGTTTTGAAGGGCTTGGTGGGTTTTTGCAGGAAGTTTTGATGGATTAGAAATGAAGACGAAGAGGAAAATGTGGCCATCGAAAGAGGAAATGTGGCGAAGACAGATAGTGATGAGCTCCTCACTGGGTTATCTCTGAAATCTTTTATCCATTATGGAACTGTATATTTGATTATTTATTTATTTATTATTCATTCTATTTTGTTGTTCATTCTTCTTTGTTTTTTGGTTTTATATTTAATTTGAACTTGGATTACTTAGGGCGTGATTGTTTATAATTTGTAAAGTAAATATCCCACTCAAAACTCAAATTTAACTCAACTTTAACTCAATTCCACTATCTCCAATATTATCAATATAATTATATAATATCAAACGATCATTATTACACATCACATCAACTTTAATTCACTATTCACCCACTCACATAACTTTAACTAACCATCACTTCTAATCATTTTCTCCTACTTTTACATCAAATCAACTTTAATTATTTTAATTTAAATATTATTTTAATATATCCACAAACAACTAACCATACCACATTTTTTCAAACTTAACTATAGTTTAAAAAAAACTAATTTTTACTAGTTGAATTCATATCCAATCACCCCATAAGTTTTTTTTAACTAGTAAAAAAAAGGTGGTATGGTTAGTTTTTTTTAAACTAGTAAAAAAATTAGTTTTTTTTTTTAAACTATAGTTAAGTTTGAAAAAAGGTGGTATGGTTAGTTGTTAGTGGATATATTAAAATAATATTTAAAGTAAAATAATTAAAATTGATTTGATGTAATAGTAGGAGAAAATGATTGGAAGTGACAGTTAGTTAAAATTACGTGAGTAGATGAATAGTGAATTAAAGTTGATGTGAGGTGTAAGTCTGTAAGAATGATTGGTTGGTATTATTTAATTATATTGATAATATTGGAGATAGTAGTTGAGTTAAAGTTGAGTTAAATTTGAGTTTTGATTGATTTTTTACTGTACAATTTGTATCCAATCGCCCCCTTTAAAGTTAAAAGAATCCCTTCTTCACTAGGTGTGAAATAGTGATATTGTGTTGCAGGTTATATTCATTTCAAATTTTTGAAGACTTTTAGAGTTTTTGAAATTTTAGTATATTTAATTTAGATTTTTTAAAACTTTTAAAAACTTTAGGGTGTGTTCAATTGGGATTTCAAGTGAAATTACGAGACAGTTTAAGATTTGAGACTTAAGAATTTCAAATTTTGGTTAAGTCTGAATGTGGGATTTGAAGTCAGATTTCGTATAAGGTTTTTTCTTTAAAAATTTCACCAAATCTTAAAAAGTTTTAACAAATTCTACTAGTCTCAAATATATTAAATACCTTAGGATTCTAGAAGACTTTTTAAAATCTCAATTGACTCAAGACTTTTAAAAGTTTTAAAAAGTCCTCAAGATTTTATAAGACTTTCTAAAATCTCAAATGAATATCCAAGACTTTTAAAAGTCTCAACAAATCTAAATTGAATATCCCAAGACCTTGTCTCGAGCGGCACAATTTTCGGTGTCCTGGCCGCAGCTCCGTCGTCTCTTATAGGTTGGTGACCTCCCAGTTGGTTTCATGGTCGAGTCGGGTCCCATCAAGGTGTGTGAGTTTGGTCCTCATGCGTTGCTCGGAGCCGATCCCTTTGGCACTCTTTATCCCTCCACCAGTGACTTCGAGCTTTCAGATTTGGCGTCAGTTCTACCTAGCCGTTTCCATGGAATTTTTAATTCGGGTTCCGTTTTTGTCGCGCTTTAGGTCCTATTCATGGCTTTGTCGTTTGTGGATTCTAGCTTAGTTCTCGTCAGGGTTCTGCTGTGGGTTGTTTGTGTGGTTGGAGAGATAGTGGTCTATAGTTAAATCAGGCGTGTGTTAGTTTTCTTTTTTAGTGCGTGTTCTCCACTTGTTGGAGTTTTTAGTTTGTTGTTTTGTTTGGACTAGGCTCCAACATACCGTCTTAGTCGCTTTTGGTCACTGCTGATTGTCTGGACCCAATTCTTGGGTTCAGTTGTATTTTATTTGTCTAGAGTGCTTCGATTAACATTCCTCCCGATTCCACCTTCTTAGTGCTTTCATAAGGGCTAATTACCCCTTCAATCTTCATTTTAAAATCTACTTTTTGAGGCTTATAAAATCTATCGTTTAAAAAAAAATGTATATATATATATATATATATATATATATATAATGAATGTTGTACTTTAATTTATTTTACTTTTTTAAAGTATGATATTGAAATATAAATGCATATAAATGTTTTTTTACTGCATGATATTTACATTATTGCACGATCGAGCTGGGCATGACAATATGACATCCAGCCAAACTCACACTATTTGTGCTATTCTTTGCGTGGATAAATTTAGAAGAAACAACTAAATTTTACTCTTAACAATTTTTGCTTTCCCACAATCTGTTTGACAAAGAAGGATTATATAGTTTAGTTCCTAAATCAAAACTCAGCCTATAATGTAAAGAGATTAAGAAAGGAATAAAACACAAGGAAACTTTAGAAGTTCATAAAGATCAAATGCCATCAACACCAAGTCCCCAAGGGCATTGCTGCATTCAGAAGAATAGAATTTTTCTTAGACGGTAAAGATAACATAAATTATCATCATATTTTAACCTAATGCTCTAATATATGTTTTTTTACTGACATAAAGCAATGACAAGCTACCGAGTGAAGTATTGANAAAAAAAAAAAAAAAGGGTATTGAGACTCGGGAGCAATGAATCAAGTCACGGTGGATGTACTTCTCAAACAAACTTTTGTACCGACATGTCACAATTTTCAGGGGAGAATTTTATTAGATCCAATTAGGCCGATATATTATTTTCACAAATATTCATACTTTCATTATGATATATCATAATTTAAAAATAATACAAACACAAATTACAACATTTCATAAACATAAATATGCATTTCCATTCTCACCTAACGATTAAATCCAAACCCATAAACAGCAATTATCGAAAAGGGAATATTTGTTAAGTGAAAACATAACTCAAAGGAGTATTTGAAATGCCACAAGAGGAGATTTGGTATTTGTAACATAACCTCCAACAAAAAAAAAATAAAAAAATAGCCAAAATCTTCCTTTTCACAGTTCAAATGTGCAGATATGTTTTTATGAGCTTTCATCAAGAAAAAAGTATTATACCTTCCCTCCATTTCCAGTCTCAAAAAAAGTAGTTTCCCAAACAGCAAAATCATTCTTTCCTTTAAAATCACCAAAACCTGCAACAAGAACACCCAAGAAACACACACACACACATAAACATTTTTCTGCTTTATAACATGACACATATTGCCTTTTCAAAACATGAATAGAAACTTCCTTGCTTCCAAATGGAGTTAGAGATATCTTGACTTCCTAATAACTTCACAAAGGAGCCAAAAAGCTAGCAAGTAAAAAGGAGAAAGATAGAAATAGAGAGAGCATGAAGCTGGTTATAGAAGTCATAGACGCTTACGACCTTAACCCGAAAGACGGTTCAGGCTCGGCCAGTCCATACGTAGAGGTCGATTTCAATAACCAGCTCAGCCGAACCAAAACAATCCCCAAAAACCTCAACCCCACTTGGAACCAAAAGCTCGTTTTCGATCTTGACAAAACCCAACAAAGCTACCATCACCAATTTATCCAAGTATCCGTATACAACGAGAGGAGGCCTTTCCCGAGTAGAAATTTTCTCGGAAGGGTAATCATTCCTTGCTCGAATCTCGTCAGGCAAGGAGACGAGGTGTATCAGCGTTTTCACCTCGATAAGAAGTCGTCACTCTTTTCGCTCTCGAGGGGCGAAATCGGCCTCAAGATATATATCTCTCCCGAACCCAACCTCGACATTTCGAATAATCCCCAAAACCCCACAAACCCCATTTCTACTAATAACTGTGCCAAGCCAGCAGAAGATAAAGTCGAATTTCCCGATAAGATCGTTTCCCAAGAAAAAACCACAGAGATTACTATACAAAAGCACCAAATGGCCCCACAACCAAGAATCACGCTGCGCACGAGACCCGAAGGTGTTCATCGTCCAACAACAACGCCCCATCGAGTGAATATCTCTCATTCGGCCCCACATAACGAGGAATCTTTCGAGGTGAGAGAATCTAACTCGTCTCCGCCAGGCGAGCACTGGACAATGGGAATGGGGGAAAGAGTGGCGGCGGGCCCTACCGCCACGTCAGACCTCGTGGAGCAGATGCAATTCCTATACGTTCGGGTAGTCAGGGCCAGGGAGCTCCCAAATGGCTGCAACCCGTATGCTGAGGTCAGGCTCGGGAACTACCGCGGCCGAACCAGGCAATCGGGTCAAACCACGAGCCCCGAGTGGAACCAAGTCTTCGCCTTTTCCAAGGACCAAATCCAATCCTCGACTCTAGAAGTCGTCGTCAGGGAGAACAAAGAGATTATCGGCCGAGTCACGTTCGACCTGAACGAGGTACCCACGCGGGCCCCGCCCGACAGCCCCCTCGCCCCACAGTGGTACAGGCTCGACTCCGTTCTCGGGGAGGTCATGGCGGCCGTTTGGATGGGGTCGCAGGCCGACGAGGCCTTCCCGGACGCTTGGCACGCGGACGCGGCCTCGGTTTCCGGCGAGGGAGTTCTCAATGTCCGCTCGAAAGTTTACGTCTCCCCGAAACTGTGGTACCTTCGGGTCAACGTGATCGAGGCCCAAGACGTAGTCCCCAACGACCCTAATCGGGCCCCGGAAGTCTCCGTAAAGGCCCGGTTAGGGAACCAGGTGCTCCGGACGAGGGCTTCCCAGGCCCGAACGGTAAACCCGGTGTGGAACGAAGATTTAGTGTTCGTGGCAGCCGAGCCTTTCGAGGAGCATCTAATACTTTCGGTCGAGGACCACACGGACGACGTGAAGCTCGGGAGCATAACTCTGCCCCTGACTGTTTTCGAGAAGAGGCTCGACTATCGAGCGGTCCATTCCCGTTGGTTCAACCTCAAGAGGTTCGGAAGGGATCATAAATTCTCGAGCAGGATACACGTGAGGGTCTGTCTCGAGGGAGGATACCATGTATTGGACGAGTCGGCAATGTACATAAGCGACACGCGGCCGACGGCAAAGCAGCTCTGGAAGCCACCTATCGGGATACTCGAAGTCGGGATATTAGGTGCGCAGGGGCTTCTGCCGATGAAGGTTAAGGATGTCAGAGGGAGCACGGATGCTTACTGCGTGGCTAAATACGGACAGAAGTGGGTCCGGACGAGGACCGTTCTCGACAGCTTCAGTCCGAGGTGGAACGAGCAGTACACGTGGGAAGTTTACGACCCGTGCACTGTCCTAACGATTGGAGTCTTCGACAACTGCCACTTGGGAGGAGGAGTCGAGTCGAGAGGAGACTCGCGGATTGGGAAGATCCGCATAAGACTGTCCACACTCGAGGCCCGAAAAGTGCACACGGGCTCGTACCCTCTTCTTGTTCTGCACCCGTCGGGCCTGAAGAAGATGGGGGAGCTCCAGCTGGCAGTCAGATTTACAACACTCTCTCTGGCCCAAACGCTGCATGTCTACACTCGTCCACTCCTTCCCAAAATGCACTATTTACACCCGTTCACCGTGAACCAAATCGAGAATCTAAGGTACCAAGCGATGGGAATCGTGGCTGCCAGGCTGGGCCGGGCCGAACCCCCGCTGAGAAAGGAAGTGGTCGAGTACATGCTGGACGTGGATTCGCACATGTGGAGCATGAGGCGAAGCAAAGCTAATTTCTTCCGGATAATGTCGCTTGTCTCGGGCCTCGTGTCTGCCGGCCGGTGGTTTAACGATGTCTGTAGCTGGAAAAATCCGGCCACCTCAATTCTAGTCCACGTCCTGTTCCTCATCCTCGTCTGTTACCCGGAACTCATACTCCCGACCATTTTTCTCTACGCGTTGCTCGTCGGGCTGTGGAACTACAGGGCCCGTCCGAGGGGCCCGGCCCGCATGGACTCGAGGCTTTCGTGGGCCGAGGGGGCTGGGCCCGATGAGCTGGACGAGGAGTTGGACACGTTCCCGACGAGCCGGGGCCCGGATTTGGTGCGTATGAGGTATGATCGGCTGAGGAGCGTGGCGGGAAGGGTGCAGACGGTGGCTGGTGACGTGGCGGCGCAGGGGGAAAGGGTGGGCTCGTTGCTGAGCTGGCGGGACCCGCGGGCCACTGCCCTGTTCGTTTTGTTCTGCCTGTGTTCGGCTGTGGTGCTGTACGTGACGCCTTTTCGGGTCGTGGTGCTTGCGGTGGGGCTTTACGTGCTGAGGCACCCGAGGTTCAGGAGCAAGATGCCGTCCGTGCCAAGTAATTTTTTCAGGAGATTGAGCGCGAGGACAGATGGCATGCTGTGATTGGACGCGGCCTCGGATTCGTCTGTTTGACCATCTCTTTCCTGATCTCGAGTTGTTTTTTTTTTTTGCTTAATGTCTGTGTGCATAAATAAACAGAATAATTTGTTTGGGGTTTGTGAGTAGTCTGTAACCTCTGTTAAATCATCTCGGTTTGTTTCAGGTTTTCTTGTATACTTTCAAGTTTCAACTAGTTGTGCCTAAATTGAATGAATAATGTTAAGATCTCCAGCATTCTGACGCGGTGCGCCCTTTTTTCCAGCGACATATGATATAATCATCGATTGTTTCATAATGTGCTCGAGCCAAGTGAGAAGTGCTATTGCGTGAATTGTGAGAAATTATCTTGCTCTAGACTTGAAACCTCGTGTCTAACTAATGAAGTTTATACTTTATAAATTGGGCAAAGATAAGCTGCATTTGCAGTCAAAAGAGGAACCAACATAAAAACAGGACAGGAAGTAAGCACTCATCAAAAAGATTGGATTTTTATGCAAAAATAAAGCACTTTCATCTCAATTTCCCACTCATGAATCAACAGATCTGACCGAACAAAATAACCCATTTTCAGTACAGATTAATAATAAAGAAAGAGTGTATAAAGAAACGGAAAAATTTAAGCAGACGGATTTTAATCTACTTAATGAATCGCCCTAAAATGATTTCACGCTGAAAGTTAGTGCAAGCAATCGAATCCTTACCCTAATTTCAAATCTTCCGCTCCTCAAAACTACATTTTCGGAACAGGTGGTCTGCCCTGGTAGCCATTGATCGGATGCTTCCCGCCATGAATTATGGCATCCTATTTCTGAATTTTTTTTCTCCCATTATGTTTGGTTCTTTCTTATGTACTCTATTTTCTTTATCATTTTGTAGTTGATCAAGTAAATGATAATTGTGTCATCTATATCTATAACTATATCTATATATATATATAAAAAAGTGTGATTATTTTTTAAATAGTAACTATTTTTTTTTAAAAAAATTATTTATTATTTTAAAAAATTATTTTAACAATTTATGATATATTTCAAATGATGACATATGATAGTTGCGGCTCATTATTTAAGGAAGTAATTAAGTCATATTTTAAAATACCTTAATTTATCAAATCATGTGAATTAAATTTTGGTATTAAAATTGTGAAATTGTCTAAAAACCCCAACGAAACATGAGTACATAAAGACAAATAACACTATAAGAACATAGCAATGCTTTGAGTTCATTCAAAAAAAAAATATATGCCATATAGAAAATGGACAAAGCCTAAAAATATATATTTTTTAGTGCAAAAGCAAGTTCATTAGGCCCTACCAATTTGTCAACAAGAAAAAAAAATTCAGTCTACTTAAATATATTTTAGACTCAAGTAGAAATTAAATCTTTTTATATTTGAGTGAATTGAGTTACCTTTATATAATTTTATTCATGTCTTTAATATTTGAGCAAACCATACCATGTAAACAAAATTATATCCAACACAATGTGGATGATCTAAACACGATAGGACATAACCCAACTTAAAATACTTAATCAAAATTTAATAGATAATAATAAGTTACGATAATAAAGCACGACTACTACGGATAATGTATTCGTTTGTAATTTCGAGTGACAATTTGAAATTTTTTGAAATTTAAATTTTTTTAGGATTTTTCAAATTTTGTTGAAATTCTGTGAAATCTTAAGTTTGGAGGTTGGATATTAAATAGGATTAAGTATAAGTTTTTTCTTTAAAAATCTCAACAAATTATAAAAAGCTTTACCAAATTTATAGTATCAAATAAGTTAAATACTTCATAATTTTGTAATAGTTCTAAAAATCACGAATGAAATTGTAATCCACAACCACACAAATCAGACCAAATTACAACATATGGGTCGGGTCTCCAATTCCGAAACAGTCGCCAAAAACCCTCCACATTTTTCCAAGCCTAATAACAGTGTCCCCAGGCCCAAAACCTTCCGAAGTTCAAGGAATTTTGCGCCCCTTTCTCCTTTCAGCTGACTTATTTCGCACGAATAATCGGGGTTTATCTAGGGTTTAACTCGAAACCTTTTTCCACTGTCTTGCAGCTACCCAACGAGCCGATGATCAGGTCCCGCGGTCTCCAGCTCGCTCGCCGCTCGCTATCTTGCTTTCTTTCGCCTTCATATGTACATTGACTCAATCTTCTTTATATTATATATCCATTTCTGATTGTTGTATTTATGGGGGCTTTTTTTTATTGTAATGATCCACTGCAGATATATGATTCGTTGTCGAGGGAGGGCTGCCGGAGCTTCAGCACCGCGATTTGCAGTCAATATCGGGTTGTTTCTAATCCCAATTTAAGAAATGGTACCTGCCTTCTTGAAGTAGAATGTTTGGGAGTTTTTTTTGTTGGTTAGTGAAGTTAATGTGATTTCCTTTGTTCATGTGGAATACAGTGGGGAACGAGAGGGCTTGGTTAAAGTTTGGTTCATTCATTGGAAAAATTGGCGTTGCACGATCAATTCATGGCACCGGTAATTGTTTTAACTTTGTTGGATTTGTTTTCACTAGTAGTATAGCTTATAGTTTTATGAAAACTGAACGCGTAGCTGAAATTATGAAACATTTCTGCAAGCTACACCTATGGTGGAAAGGTTACGCATGATTTAGGTTGAAAATGGGTCTCTCTGTGGTTGCTCTATCCACCTTTGAGAAGACCTGTTTTATTATTGTGCAGTTAACTGATTATACCTTTGTTCTCTTTTTTGGTCTTTCCTGACTAGCTCAACTATCAAAAGATTACTACGAAGTACTTGGTGTCAGTAAAGGTGCAAACACTTCTGAGATCAAGAGAGCTTATTATGGGGTATGTTACTGGCTTGGCATTTTGCTCTACAGTTAACAAAGAAATTTGTATGAACTATTTCCAAGTTATCCAATTTTGGTAAATAATTGGACCGAGTTCTGCAGCTAGCAAAGAAGTTGCATCCAGATACAAATAAAGATGACCCAGAAGCTGATCAGAAATTCCAAGAAGTCCAGAAAGCGTATGAGGTACTTTTGCGAAGATTTGTGTTCCATATATAGTACAGATTCCCAGATATTTTCGAAGAGTCTATTATATATAAATAAATTATGTTGTTTCCCGATCCCAATCCTTTGTAGGTCTTGAAAGATGATGAAAAGCGTCAACAATATGATCAGGTGAGAATTACATGGCTGGCTGCTAATTGCATACGGCATCTCTATCAGTTCACAAACATAGTTCTCATGAATGGATTATAACTAGTATGTGACATGTGGTTTATAATACATGATTACATGTGTATAAGATGAATCATGTGTGAAGATGTATGCGGCTGGTTGCTTCGGCCTCTTCTTCACATTAGACAGTGTACATTTGAAGCCAAAATGAATCTCTATTTATTAGACGGTGTACATTTGAAGCAAAATGAATCTCTATTTATCTTTCTGCAGATCCATAATATAATTACGTTGTTTTATTTATTTTGTTTTATATTATTTTTTATTCTTTCTTTAATCTATTTATTTATAAGTGGCATTCTAATTTAATATTTTCAGATTTTAAAGCTTTGATCCAACACTTCTGTTGAAAGAAATTGAGTTGAAGTATACACTTTAATGTTTCAATAATTTAAGAAATTGTTTATTATTACGTAGGTGGGGGTGAAGGAGGAATTCATGGTATAAGATAGATCATAGTTTACTCATGTGTTTTATGAGAGAATTGATTTATTGCATGGATTGCTTTTCAGTTTTAAGCAGGCATCATTGTCCTCCATTTAATGAGAGGTCTGACTGTTAGTTTTAAATTTATTGTGAGCAGCTTGGCCACGAGGCTTTTGAGAGCGTGAGTAGTGGTGAAGGTCCTGGATATGATCCATTTTCAAGTGGGTACAACCCTTTCGAGGACATATTCAAAAATAGTAGTGTAAGTCCTCGCGAGGTTATCTTGTATAATATACTTGATATATTGTTACATATTTATTAACTGAAATTCCGTAATCTTTACTTTTCTGTAAGGTGAGATGTTTGATATTATATGGATGTTGGATTAGTAATTTTATCTGAGGTATGTTAAAGTGATCGTATCATGCTATAACTGTGTAATTGAATTGCAATAAATGTTTACTCTTAAAGTGTATAAATGTTTTGCTGATTTTACAATGTCACGAGATTAAGATAATTTTTCTACAATGTTGGTGGTTTGGAGGCTGAGGTTATGGTGCCAAAGGAAGGGAGAAGTGGGGAGTTCAGTCATTGCATTTAACCTTTTCTAGATCATGGATTCTTGAAGTAAAGATTTCTAACTGAAATGGAATTGCATCTTCCAGAAAGCATCCTATCCATTTGTGTTTAATCGTTCGGCCTTAAATTGGAATATACAACTTCTTAAACCAAATGCCTTGTTTCACCTGTAAATTTGTGCGTGTCCCACAAGCTTAAGATTGTTTTTTTTTTTTACGTAGTCTTATTAGATACTGCCACTCATATTACTGACCTTTACATATAACATTATTATTTTGTTGTCATTTAATCTGTTGCTATTACATTATCAAGTTTTATAATTGGCTTATTAGTTAAAAAATCTAATTCTAACTTTTATTGTGCATTGCTGTAATCGTTCAGATTTTCAACATTTTCAATCGGGGAGTGCGTGGCGAGAACGTCGAGGTTATGATTTGGATTAGATTAAATATTGAAGTTAGTGGAATATAGTAAATTCTCACTGATCAGACTATTTTGTGCAGGTTTCACTTGAGCTTTCGTTTATGGAAGCTGTCCAGGGTTGCGCCAAAACACTGTCCTTCATGACCGATTTGGCTTGCGATGCCTGTGGTACTTTTTTATCGAACAAAGTTTATACTGTCCCTTGCTATCAATATTTTATTTGAATCCCTTTTACCTATTGATGTATTTTTACATGGATGGGATGTTTATTGATTTTGCCAGTATTATTCTTCCCTGTTTTCTCATATCAAGGCTCAACTGTTTCTTCATTTGTATAGGTGGATCTGGGGTTCCTCCTGGGACCCGGCCTGAAACTTGCATACGTTGTAAAGGCTCTGGCGTGGTGATTACCTTTTATATAACTAATTTGTCATGGGGATAAGTTTATAAACCATACTAAATATTTTGTTTTGCCTTCACAGTTTACATCTCAAAATGGACCATACAGAGTTGAATCTACCTGTCCAAATTGCGGAGGAGCTGGAAAAATTGTGAAGGTATGTGAATTCACATCTAACTTACCGCCTGCATATTATTTGCTCTCATCTCATTATTTTTATCTGTTGGCCCTAGTGAGGGAGCTTATTCTCGGTTCTTAAATTCTTTTATCTATTTGTAAACTTTTTATCCAAGCAGTTGATTGAAAAAAGAACTGATATTTGTGAACATAAGATAGGAACTTTATTTGTTGTACACACGCAAGGCGTTCTAATCTGGTTGCATATTGAATGGAAGTTGAGTTCCAAATACTTTAGTCTTGAAGCACCTGTGAAAGACATCTTTTTTCTGACTCATCTTAAGTAGAGATGGGCATGATAATGGTGTAGAGCATAAAAGAAGGTGGACTCTTTGAACTGTGCTCCTCAAACTGTGGACATTATGATCTTGGCTTATACCCCTTGCCATGCTATCCAAGATGTGAAATTTTGATATGCACCTCCTTTCAGAATAAAATGGTTATGCTATTTAATTAAACTTGTTTTGTTTTTTGCTTTGACATCGAGAGAATAGATGTATGAAGGTTAATTAATGCATAAAATGAGAATGTCTTGTGGTCTTTTGTGGCTTGCAAGTTGCAATTGAACTTAATAATTTGCTTTGGGAGTAGAATTTTCAGTATGGTTATTGTTTTATTATTTTTAATTAGATCTGCTAAAATGGTTAAAATGGATTTATCTCCTGTTGGCAACAGAGCTCCTGCAAGTCTTGCAGGGGAAAGGGGGTAATCAAAGGGTCCAAGACAGTGAATTTTAATGTCATGGCAGGTAATTTCACATAAAATCTACTTCTTTATGAATTTTTATTTTTGTGCCGTTAAGCTTGCATAGACTTTTGCCCCATGTTGCATCCGCAATTTTCAGGACACTAGAACACGAAACATTTGACACGAAACATTTGACAATCACAGTGTGGATAATAAGATTCATACATAAAATTAGTGGCGCTGTGTTATTTCTTTCCGAAGCAGTTTAAATTTTGTCTAGAATACATCCTCCCACCTCACTTCCCATTTTCCTCGATAGCACTTTGTGGTTATTGAAAATAAATTCGTACTATAATTGTTGCCAATAACTGAAATTGATCCATGTTCCTCTTCTTTTTGTTTCTTTTTTTTCCTCAAAAGGAATCTTATACATGGAATAGGGTAGAAACCCCTTAATAGAACCACTTTATTCCTATTAAACATTATTGAGTTATTTAACTTAAAAATAGCAGAGTTATTTGAAAACAATATGTTTCTCCCATGCTTTGTGTATAGTTACTTCTTTTTCTTAAGGTTTGTATTTGAATGTGGAATCATAATTAGGCACTATCTGTTTGCAGGTGTGAACAATGGTGATACTATCAAGATCCCGCGTAGTGGTGGAGCAGATCCTGATGGAAATCAGCCTGGTGATCTTTTTGTGTTAATCAAGGTCCGATTTATAATTATTAGCCCTTCCTTGTCTCATTGACTTATGTCTGAATGTAGTTAATTCAGTTTTGTCGTTATTCTGGGATATGTTTTTACAGGTCAGAGAAGATCCAGTGTTTCGTAGGGAAGGAGCCCATATCCATGTTGATGCCATATTAAGCATCAGTCAGGTATTACTTGTGATGTAAATAACAATTGGATATTAATAAAATAAAAAAAAAATAGAAATATGTTGTCTAGTTGAGCTGTTAACTCTTTTAAACGGGTAGAGACTTGTTAATTGGTGTTTGGTAATTGGATTAGTAGGTGAATGTCTGTAGTATGATATACTCGCTCGAGTGAGATTCATTTCTTTTACTTGGAGAATAAGAGACAATGATGTTTGTACTTTGTTCTCAATCTCTCGTTTTCATGAAGTTAGACTTGCTAGGTGGACTTTTAATCAAATTTTGTATTCTACTACAGGCAATTTTGGGAGGCACAATTCAGGTTCCCACACTGACTGGAGAAGTTGTTGTTAAGGTCGGTATGAAGTTGTTTACTTTACTGGTTATTTCTTCTTTGATTAAATGGTTTAGTAATGGAATTGTGATCATATAGTAATGAAGTTGTCTTTTACTCTTTGGCAGATGAATTTTACAATTATCTACCTTTCTTTTGGTATAGAAATCAAAACTCTTCTTAACCAACATTCACGCTTTTCTATTTGCTTATGTCCTGTAGGTCCGCCCGGGCACTCAACCTGGTCAGAAGGTTGTCTTGAAGAAAAAAGGTAGAGACTTTACCTGGATATATATTACTAAATCGAGTATATTCATGATCTTGTTTTTACAGTTTTACCCTTCCTTGTACCCAATTTTTTCACACATGATCTTGTTTTTACATATTATACTCGTCTTTTAAAGAATAATGTACAACTTGCTTATGCAGGCATCAAGACCCGAAACTCGTTTTCACTTGGTGACCAATATGTTCACTTCAACGTTAGCATCCCAACGTAAGTACTGCAGACTTAGGTCTTCTGTAATGAAATATTCCCTCAAGGTTTGGCTTAATTGCAAAGGAACCCAAATTGAATTAGAAAAAAAAAAAAAAATTGAAATATATCTGGGAATACATGTAATTTAGACTAAAAAAAGTGTATGCACGATGGATTTATTTGTGTTGTCCTGTGGCCAGAAATTTAACCCAAAGGCAGCGCCAATTGATAGAGGAATTTTCTAAAGAAGAACAAGGAGAAGATGAAAAGGCTGCGGCTGCAAGTGCAACGGGTTGAGCCTGTGCTCGCAACACATTATCTTCGTGTGATGTACCCAAATAACCACGGAGAAGAAGGGAAAAATGAAATAAAATTCTTGCAGAGGCGCCCTATTCTTGTCTGAGAGGTGAAAATTACTATTTTTGTCGTTGAATTTAAAATGTTGCCAGTTAAAACTGTTTGCTATTTTTTCTACCTCCCCTTTTGTCGGGTCAGAAGTCAGATTAGTAGTATTTACATGACCATATTTTTTAATCATAGTTATGAATGATCATGAAACGAGAATGTCTCTAGGATGAAAGGTGACTGTATTTTGTATATAGACAGAATTTATTTGTCAGATTATGCATCCGTTTGATGTTTTTGTTTTTGTGTGTCATCTAACGTTAGCCATAAAGTTTAGAACAACTCCAATGTTGCGTTAGTCTAGCGTAAAACATTCGAATTTTGATAAAATAGTTGTTCAATGTTGCGCTACATCTCTACACTAGTATCGCATTCCATCTGGCGTGTTACTCTTCAGTACTCTACAATTTTTTTATTTATCTTTTATTATTTTTATATTGTATGTATTTGAGTTATCTTAAAATTTATTATTTATTTGACAAAATTGTACCTATATATTTATAGTTTAATTTTACAATTATATGAAAATATTGTTTTTAAAAAATGTATATTTATATTGAATCACTATAAAATGAATAAAATAATGTACAAAACTATAATATTTTGTCAAACAATATTTAAAACTAGTATGTTATCACATTTTTAGAATAAAATAAATATCTTTACTAAAATTACTTTAGTTTATTTTTTAATGTTATCACATTTTTAGATTAAAATAAGTTTTAACTTATTTTTTAACTTTTGAAATAAATTTCATTAAGCTCTTGTAGAAATGTTAATTATGAAATAATTATCTTATTATGTAATTTTACTAAGATATTTTATATTTTTTATTATAAGTATTTAAAAAAAATTCAATAAAAAAATTATTGTGGTTTACATAAGTATGTCAAGATACAAAATGATTTGGAGTCTTAAATTGAAGAGTAAAATGTAAAAGTAAGTCTTATATTGAGAATAACTTAAAAGTGAAACTCTCAATTAAAAAATAAAAAATTTAGACCCTATTATAAAACAAACAATATCCCAAAAACAGGTTCTACAATGGAATTTCCCCAACTATATGTAGGGCCTAATGTGTAGACCATAAATTAAGGAATAAACTAATACAATAATATTTAATGTGATGTGGCCGCGCGAGGTCCATTAGGACACTTGACTGTTTCGATGAACGTCTATCTTGTCGATGATGATTGTATTTGTAACCTGTTTCTCTTTCATTGTATTTGGGTCAGCCGATATTTAAGGTTTTGTCCGCCCCTGTAGTAGACGAGCTCGGTATTCGAGGATCTGTTCATCATCTGTGGTCAAGGCCACCTTGGAAATAATCTAGGTCTGTATTTGAAATTTTGAAGTTTAATTTGGAAAATTTGTCGTTTATATATTTATTTAATGCATTTTTTAGAGACTGTTTTGCCTTGCCACGTGCCACTCTTGTATCCTCAATATAATTAAATAATACTACTACTCAATCATTTTTACATATTGCAATAATTTTAATTTACTATTCAAGTCAAATAATTTTAACTAACAATCACGTCACATCATATTTCTCTTACTTTTACATAAAATCAACTTTAACTATTTTATTTTAAATATTATTTTAATACAAATTTAAAATCCACTAACAACTAAACATATCATTTTTTATCACAATTAACCATACTAAACCAAAAAATTAAAACATCTTATATCCAAGCATCATTGTGTTGACACATTTAGGTTACTTGTATACAATTTTTCCATATTTATTTATTTTTTTCATTAATTTATGCGTCCCTTGTTGTATCATAGTTTTATTTTACTCACTTTGTTACTATATCTGTAGTTGAAAAAAGAAGTATGGATATTTATTTTGTAGTACAATAGTAGTTCTAATTTATGAAATTCAATTTTTGTTTTGATTTTTTTCGGAAGAAAAATAATTATGTCAGTATGAATTAATATAAGTGTTCTATACAATGAATGACAGCGGATTTGAAGTAGAAAATTTATTAAAAGTCATTGATAGTTACGAGTCAACTTTGTCGAAATAATAATACTTTAAAATTGAATAAAGAAAAAATAGAAAAAGAACAAATATTTAAAATTTTAAAACAATCTTTCGTTTTCCTAACCCGGCCGGAATAAAGTGAAATCGAAATCACGCGCAATTCTCAAACCACAAAGCGGGAACCCCAAAAAGTCCTCTCCACAGTCATCCAACGTGGCGTAACGCAATTGGTCCTCATTACGTAAACGCGGATCGACTAAACACTCCCAATCTCACCGTCCACTAACTCCCCAATCAACGGCTCCCATTCCCCGCTCAAAACCCCTAAAAATTTCAAAAAATCCCCAAAATGGCAAAACATTATCTTTCCCGCTTTCATCATCTCTATATAACAACCCCACAACCATCTTCACCTTCACACAGCTCACAAATTCTATACATACATATCCTGTATCTCTATACATCACTTCCTCATCTCGCTAGACAATGGCTCGCACCAAGCAGACAGCCCGCAAGTCCACCGGCGGCAAGGCCCCCAGGAAGCAGCTCGCCACCAAGGCTGCCCGGAAGTCCGCCCCGGCCACTGGCGGCGTGAAGAAGCCCCACCGCTTCCGTCCGGGTACCGTCGCCCTCCGTGAGATCCGCAAGTACCAGAAGTCCACCGAGCTCCTCATCCGCAAGCTGCCATTCCAGAGGCTGGTGCGCGAAATCGCACAGGATTTCAAGACAGATCTCAGGTTCCAGAGCTCCGCTGTGGCGGCGCTGCAGGAGGCGGCGGAGGCGTACCTGGTCGGGTGTTCGAGGATACTAACCTTTGTGCGATCCATGCCAAGAGGGTTACCATCATGCCCAAGGATATCCAGCTCGCCAGGAGGATTAGGGGTGAGCGGGCTTAGGTTTGAGTCGCTGATTTGGGTATGGGTTGGTTTACGGCAATTTTGTAAATCGTTCTGGTTTAGGGTTTTCCTGATGTAGCTTGTTTGATGAATTTAAGTTCTAATGAAATCTGAAGTTCCTTTTATTTTTATTTCTAGATGTTTGCTGGTATTCTTGATTATAATTCGTAATTAGCACACTTATCTGGTTTGCTTTGTTACAAGACAGCAGTTGATGAACACTGTTTCAATTATCTGATAATTGGTTGGAAATTGATCCTGATTTCTTAATTGGCTTGCAATTGATTTATGATTTTCCTCTCTGTTATAATTCATGTGAAGTTGAAAATGGTTTTGGCACTGGAAATATGATTTATCTGTTTACCTAAGTTTTGAAGGACATCCCATTATTATGAATCCATAATCATAGCAATGTTGTTTTAAGCAACTGTTGCAAATGTCTTTGTTTCATATTTTCACTTCCATGTTACTTTACTAAAGTATAACCTTATGTAAAACCACAATTTACCTTAAGAAATTTTAAAAAGTGTAATGGTTTTTTGGTGATGTTCATTCTTGATTCTTCAGATAGTACTAAACCTAAAATTTCTTGAAATTTGTTTTTCACTCAAAGATGCTATTGTTTGCTTGTCTTATTTGCTATAAGTGGTTAGCTTTTGCTGGGGGATATATATAGGTATAAAGGAAATCAAAATATTAGATAGACATAAACAGAAAGTCGTGCATAGCTTGAGTTTCACAAGTCCAGTAATAGAGTGTGGCTCAACAACAATAAACAATGAGACAAATGTGATAGCAGAGTTAGGACAGAAGCATGAAAAAGCATGCAACACCAGCCGATAATCCTATATATTCGTATATCAACACACACAACGATAAAAACAAAATAAATAAAGAATATTACAAACTCAAATATCCTGGTCTGAATACATTACAAAACAATGAAGGTGTGTAACTCGAAATCCCTTCCCATGTTTATACTTGTGCTTGTGATGGCCGGTTTTGTGCCGGTAAGCAAGGCGCATCTATGCAAGAGCACGTTTTTCTCTGCACTTTTCCATCTCATACCTTGCCGGGCTGCCGTGGCACCTTACAGCCCAATTCCTCCTACCGAGGCTTGTTGTGCTTCAGTCAAGGCTTTGGGCCGGCCCTGTTTCTGCGTGCTTGTAAATGGGCCTCCAATTTCTGGCGTTGACCGGACCATGGCCATGCAGCTGCCCGAGAAGTGCACTGCAAACTTTGCACCATGTAAAACTACATGAAATAAAATTAAAACACATTTTTCAGTTTAATTTGCAAGATTATTAGTAAACTCTGAACAAGAATCGGGTTTCGGAACGAAAAACGGTAGGTTTTCGTAAATTTATCGCATAATTTTCTTGTTGCTTTGTGCAGGTGAAATTGCTAAATGACGAGGACAGGGCAAAGGGTGAATTGCAGATGAGTCATGAAGGAGTATCAGCTGACAGTTATTTACTGTGGTCAAATAAGTCTACAATAAGCAAATTTATTGGGAGTTTGAATTTTATAGTAATTGTTGTTGTCTTCTTTAATCATTCTTGTGGCTAGAAATAAGTTTCTTTACAGCAATTAAATCAGTTTCTTTACAAGTTCTTTCTCACAGCATGCACACACTTCTATAATCCCAAAATCATAAATTGAACTATAGAGAACAAGCAGAAGAACGGGGTTGAGCTAAATCCATCCATAAATGTGTTTCTATCTCTGAGTATCAGTACGAAAAAATCAGATAACATTCCTCAAGTTCTTTAATAACAAGAATTTCATTCTGCCAGCACAGTTTGAGCCAAAATTCAAAGAAACTATATTTGCTTAGAATCGTGATTTTCAGTCTCCTAAGCAAAGCGAAAACACAACCAAATATCATCAAAAAAAGGCGTAAATTTAACATCTATCTTTTACTATGCACATTATTCATACAACAAGCTAAATCAATATTTTGATCACACGCTACTGAGATAACATAACTTTTTGATTCTAATATCTTGTTCTTTTCCTAGAATAAAAGGAGCTGACAAATTCATTCTTCCATCTTCCTTTTTGTGAGTTTATTTTTTTCTGTTTTCTTCTTCTTTTCTTTGGTGGGTTTGTTAGGCAAACCAAGATCGATTCTTTTTCTCCTCTACGTAGTTGGGCTTGTTTGCCAAGGATTGTTTGAACACACACACTTTGTCTTCGTGTCGGTTAGAGCCTGCACAAGGGGTAAAAAGAACAGAAGAAAAAAAATGAGGGAAGATGAATTTGGTGAGAGATTTGAACTTTCATGTGAGTCCCAACTNNNCCTCTTACTTCTGGATAGAAAATGATGCATTTGTTATTTATTTATCATTTACCTGGACTTGTTTCTGGAGATCTTTAATGTATTCAACTGCTAAATCCAACATATCAGCTGTGTTTATTTGCTGCCAATAAACAGCAATAGAAAAAAAAGTTACAATCTTTTTAACTCTCATCTTTTTACCGCAAAAAGAAAGTTGAAAATACACGGCATATCTATCTACCTTATCCATACTCGGGAAAAGATCTTGCAGCTTCTTCATGTTGTCACTAATCCGAGTTCGTCTCATCTGCAAAAACAACATACAAAATCGTAATGAAAAGTCTTGATCGAAAAACTTCACAGTTCCATGTTATAAACGTTGACTAGGACAGTGTTTCGTAAAAATTATTAGTCACAAAAAGGAAGAAACTATTTTCCAAGTGTATCGAATTTACCCTTTCGGCTATGCTTCTAGGATGAGTGGCACAGCCTCGTTTGGCTCGAATTTGACAAGGAACAACTGTACTTTCTTGCTGGAAATGCAGATAATTTTCCACTGTCGCCATCTCAGAACTAGTTTTTGGCAAGCTCATGTGCGAAACTAAACCGCTCGGCATTTTTCTACTTTCTCCATTCTGAGCCAGAAAATTGTAAAATCAGCACTCGAAAAAATTAACAACAAACAAAGGACCAGAAAAAAAAAAAGCATAGCATAACAAAAGTAATATAAGGGANAATTGTGAAAAGGTCTTCTCTCAATATTCGAAAAAACTTTATGTTTTACACGATTTTTCTTGGAAATTATTCCAAAAGGTGAAAAAATGCATCTACCTGATTTTCCAACAAATTGAAATTGGAGTACATTTTCGGTTCACTATCTCGATTTCTTTTCAAGGGAGGTACATTCCAGGAGTTAATGCTGTTTTTCGACCGATCATTTTCAGGGCTACATGTGGAGATGCTCTCGTTTAGATTTTCGGGTATAGTGGGCATAAATCTTGAACCAGAACATTGGCCCGCCGAGAAGTTCAAGTGATTGCTAAAACCGGCAGCCGATGAGCTGGCGTTAGCATGATTTTGAACTCTGTAGTTCCCTACTTCTCCCATTACACCAAATCCTGTGGTTCACCAAAATTTCATTAGAAAATCTAAATACTATTAATAAACATCTTATCTCAAAAGGTTAAAATTAGGACAAAAAGTTTACAATGTTATCTGATCCCAAGTGCCATCTTTTTTCAAGTTTTTTACTTGTGTTTGCAAAATAATACAAATTCTGAATCCCAACTACTCATCAATTATTCTACAGTATATCAATTCATGAAACAACCATATGAAACAACATAAAGAATACCAAAAGAATCCATCAGGGCAAGTAAGACTTTGAATTTCAATAACAATGAAAACATGAAAACTAATAAACAAGAATAAATGAGTTGAATCTGGAAAAAGACAAAGGCAAACGAAAGGAGAAAAAAACATCATGAAACTATTTTAGTCAGTTTCTCTTTTTGGAAAAAAACTCATACTCTGTTTGATTTTACTTTCCAGATCCAAAAACTTATCCACAAGGCCCGAGAAAGTCAATTTACCCAACCAAGAAAATAAATAACCCATCCGTGGGAAAGTAAAATGTCTAAACAAAACAAGAAAAAAAGGGGGAAATAATTTCTGAAATTTTCAAGAAAAAGTTAAAATTACCATATAAAGCCCAGCTTTTCAATAAATAAATTAAAAGTTAAAGTTACCATTAAAAAACCCAGCAGGTGAGCTGCTCTGTCTAACCAGATTCGAGCTGTTTCCATTATCAGCCAAGCTCACATGAACTTGATTCTCCATCCCCACGGAGTAAGACCCAACATACCCGCCCGCGTGCCCGTTTGGGAAAAAACCGGGTCGGGTCTCCGTTTCGTCCCCAATCTCCTGCTTCGTGGAGTACTGCGCCTGATGCTGATGTTTCTGATTCAGATCGTGCTGGCCGTCGATCAAGGCGGATAAGAAAGCTTCAGATTCGTCACCGCTGCTGCTGTTATTATCCGGGTTCGGATCCATAAGGGCCGCGAGAAACGAACTCGGGGCGGATCGATACCTTGATAAGCCATGGACCTGGAAGAAATCTGGGCCGTCGATTTCTCGGCCCTTGGTAAAATCCCCACCGCCGGTGGGGATACTGTTCTTGATTAGAGTGTTTTTGTTGGTGGGGTTCGAGAAGGCAAAGCCATTATTACTGCTTATTTCTGAGCTGCCAAACATAGTTCAAAGCAAAAACTAGAAAGAAAGTAATAAAGGTTAGATCTTTAGAGTGGATACTGAAAAATTAAAAGGAACCCATTAATGGAAACTTCAAGGATTGGTATACTTGGAGTTTTTCACTTTTTTTTTTTTTCTTTTTGGGTTTTATAAGCTTTTTTAGCTGAAAAAAAAGGATTTTTTTTTTCTGTAAGCAGAAGAGAAAGCGAGCTGGGAGTTTTTTCACAGCTATATGTATTTATCGAGGAGCCCTCGATTTTATCCAAATTTACACGTGAAGTTGTTGATTGGACATTAATGGACAGGTACAGTGATGTTTGTTTTAGTATTTTGTATTAAGTTTTAATTAAATGTACATATCCATTTGCCATGTCAGCTAGTGGGCCCGCTCGTGTCAGCATCTGTTGAGCCCTCGCTAGAGAACAAAATCTCATCGGTTTGTTGTATACAGTATGTGCTTAGATCTTGTGAGATCTAAATCTACTTTAGTGGAATAATTAAAATACTAGATTGAGACTTACGTGATAAATAAAAGAATCAGCTATTTCTTCGCATACTAAAAGTTTGAATGACAAAAATAATATGTATATATAATAAATAATTGTAATTTTAAAAATACTGTAATGTGTAAGACGATAGTGTCGTATATTATATCTTGTACTAAGCTAACATATATACTTCTAAATAAAATGCGGTTGCGAGACCATCGAGAATTTTTTTACAAATTAATTTTAATGTGGGACGGTTTAATCGTGAGTGAATCTATTATAATTTTTAAATGTATATTTTTTGTCATAAAATTTTATGATTATAATTTATGCTGGTTTATAAAATATAATTTTAATTTTAAAATTATGAATAAAATGTTATGTATCTGAATAAGATGGCTTGACGTAACAACTAACAAGGAATTAGAAAAAAATATATTGGGAGAATGGTTGAATAAGTATCTGTTTCCCTAAAATTTTATTGATATTTTTAAATTTAGTTTCAAACGGTTATTCTAAATGTTTTATTGGAGCTGAGTTGAGTAATATCTCATATTCGAATATGTGACTGATTAAAAAAAAAAGATTTCATTTGACTAAGTTTGATTAGTCTGATACAATTCTAAACGAGTTGCCCATTCATAAATTAATTCAATTTAACTGTCTCATTCACACTCCGTAACAAATAAAGTTAGCTCGTTTAACAACTAGTTAGTTGTTCAAGCTCTGTTCTTTTAAGTATATTATTAACGAGTCAAACTCAAAGTTTCACGAGATGAACCACACTGTATTCACGAATAACTCGATTCATATAACACACTAGTTATCCCCATGTGTTTCATCGTGTTGGTCCGTGCAGGAGTGCGTCCCCAATTGCCTCGGCAGATTGTGTCATTGAACGTCAGCAATTCAGATTATAATATATACATGAAAATATAAAATTAAACTCCTTAATTATTATTTTTCTTTTGTTTGAATTTCTAAATTAGTTTTATTTGATTTTAAAAAACAACCATTCATTTTCTTCTAACCAACTATGTAAGATCATCGATGAAATCTACTCTATTGCATATCAATTATGTGTGAGTCGCAATATATAAGCCGTAATCAAGAATTGTATGGGACTTTTTACCACTTGACAATAACTAATCAAAATGATGTACAACATCCGAATCCTAGTAAAGAACAAAACCATTAGAATAATAACCTCACCCAAATACAAGAACTTCCATTGGAGCCCATAATTGGGCAGTTTTGTTCATTTTTCAATTATTTTTTGGGTCAATGAGTTTGAGTTTCGTGGATCAATTTTCTTGGTTTATCACTACGGTAACGTTATATCAGCCTTTGAAGTATGGGGAAACTTTATCTTTTGGCACAAAGTTTTCGTTCTTTTGACATTTGAGCAGTTGGAGTGAGGTATTGAACTTTGATTGGTGAGAGACTGAGAGTTGTTATGTTATTTTTTTAATAGGTCAAGTTTTCATTTGAATTCTACATTGAATTGTGTTTAGATTAGTACTAAGTACTGTGATAAGTTGGTGAGTTTCACTTTTAGTTTTATCTTTTCCTATTAAGTATGCTGGGACCATATATATCAATGTCTTTATTTAATTGAGAATTTCAAAAAATTGCAAATTATAATTTTTATTCATGAACATCATTACTTCACTCAACTAGTATAGAATTGAGAAATAGGATGATTGTCATTCAATAATGATTTTTTTGTTTTAAGAAAAAAAATAAATATTGTATTATGGTAGGAGAATAATGGTTGTGCCTAGGGTTAAGTACTTTAGATTATGTTAAGATAACATGAAAGTCAGTCTGGCCGAGTGGTCTAAGGCGCCAGACTCAAGTTCTGGTCTTCGTGAGAGGGCGTGGGTTCAAATCCCACTTCTGACATTGAACATATTATATTTTTTTAATCTTACAGTTTTAACTTTTAACTATTTAAACTATTAGTTGGGAATTTTAATGTTATCTGATTATTTGGATTTGGGAAATAAAATTGAAATTAATTTTTTTCAACTTAAATATATTATATATGTATATAATCGTAACTAGGGCCAATAGGTCTGTTATATTTGTTATTTTCCACATTGTAAAAGTTTAGTTTAATTTCAAACTATACTCCATAAGGGCTCATGTAATATTGTGTACATTAGGTGCTAATCGAGTGCAAATTTTGTTTGAAAGTGCCACAAAATTAGTTGCTATTGTCATATCTACCTAGCCGGTTTGAGTTTGACAGAAGTTTACATATGTGAGGGTTTTTAATTCGTGGTCCAAAGTTCGCCTGCAGTATTTGAGATCGACTCTATTGTTGGTTCGTGTGGTGACATTGGCGGGTTAACTAGAAGCAGAGGAAGAATTAGTCTATTTGTAAATGTATGTTGTAGTCTTTTTTCCTGTTTTTTCCAGTTGTTTAGAATAAAACTGTGTTGTTTTTTTAGTCTTGTCTCCTACACTCCTGTAAGAGTATGTTTAGGTGTTCGTTTAACTCCCCTTAGTTAGTTGATTGTGTGATTTCAATGGAGAGGAGATTCAGATTCTGTTCTGATTCTAGTAACGTCAAAGGCAAAGAAAGGTGAATCTAGATAATTTCTAAACATAAAATGGCTCAAAATTAGTGTTAATTGCTATCGTTGAGCTAACTTATTTAAACTTCTTACCTCAGTAGTTTTGTGTTAAATCATCTTAATTATTATACAAAATATACTTCTTTTTATAAATATACATAATTGAATTATGAAATGTTATATTAAAACAACTTTGATAAAAATATGATACTACTTAACTGTATAAATACACATTTTTATTGACAAATGTGATGAATTGACCAGTTTAATGGATAAGTTGGCTCGCAAATTCTTGTGTTTTTCAGGGATACTTCACTTAACATTTGGGTTTGACCAAGGTACAAATTAAAAAAAAAGTATATATATATAAATATCCTGACCTGAAAAGTGGCTCCCATTTGGATTTGACCAATGGAGTAATCCCCTTATTAAAGGTTGATTCACATTTGAATAATTGAATTTGACTAAGTCATGCATCTTACAAAATTGAGGTTTGGTACTGTGGTGAGCTTGCTGGAAGTAGACTTTTAAGGCTCTTTAATTTGGTCAGCTGTTTGTTTACAGGGAGCCATAAATACCATTTCATTTTGTAATTTTGAATTTACTGTGAAGAAAAATGAAAAAAAAAAGTATAAATATATGTGACATAAAAATGTAATGATCAAACTCCATTTAATATTATATCTATAATTTAATACATTAACATTTTGTAGTTAGAATTATGGGAGCAAGTGAAACAAATGTGTAAATAATTTTGGTGAATAATATAAATAGTGTGACCTTTGAATTAAAATTTAAGTTCACATCTGAATGAGTAAATTACTAGAATTCAAGACAACTTTGCTTATGAGACATTCCCATTACCCAGGGGAAAGGTGGGGTAGTTATTTGATTAAATATTCAAAAGTCAACCATAAATGAAATTGGCCTCATTAGTACAATTTAAAATTTTAAATCTAATGACCATAGGATTTCATTAGTTTAACTAAATCTTAGATAATTCTAATTCATTGAATAGTTTATTCTGTGCTTATAGGTTTAGGTCCTGTAGGACTTTAATCTAAGTCGTCAGACTAATATATTGAAAAGCAGAATTATCATTCATCATATTTCAAATAANCATTGGATTTTCCAGTGTTTGATACGTACAAACTCATGTACTTTTTTTTTTAATCTTTGAATAAATGCACACATATGATTATATGTGATTCAACCATAAAATAACATTGCTTCCTAATTGGTTTTATCTGTCATAAAATGGAAAGTCCCATTGTTTTGGGGTCTCAATTTCTGTATTTTACTGGGGTATTGCTTTTGTTAACTTTTTGAGTAATGGTATAAAATATTTTTTATTTTTCAGAAATTTCCTTTTTTTCATATATATTAATTTAAATGGCCTTTATAGTGATACGTGTACATAATCTGTTCACAAATGAGAATGAGAACCAACATTTGCATGAAGGGAATTAGGGAATTGAATTTATCTGGGCAATCTTGAATTCTTTATTGTTCTATTCTTTATTACATCTATTATTATTGGTTATAATTTGTCCGGGTCCATTTTTGTAGTCAGATCTACTTTTGGTGTATGTGTGCATACAATGCCAATAAACCCATTCTCTTTGTACCAAAAAAAATAAATAAAAAATAAACCCATTCTCAAATCAGATGGAAAATATTAAATATATATATTGTTTTTTTCGGTTGCATGTAAAAGTTTATTCTTATTAATCTTTAATTGTTTATGAATTCAACTAATTTTTATTTAGTTTATTTTTAATTATAGTTAATTTTGAAAAAATGATGTATGGTTAGTTGTTAGTGGATATATTAAAATAATATTTAAATAAAATAATTAAAGTTGATTTGATGTAAAGTAGGAGAAAAATAATTGGAAGTGATGATTAGTTAAAACTAGCACGTAGCCCGTGCGATGCACGTGACATAAGTATTAATGAGTTATTTCCACAGAACTTGTCCGTTAAGTAGCTCGTGCGATTCACGGGAGATATTAAATGAGTGGACCATAGGGCTTGTCCGTTCAGGCTTAAAAAATAATAGAGTTTGATCATCTATTTTTTTACATCTTTTCATCAACGTCATTTTTTTTGTCGGAACATTAAACCTGAGTCTGGTAGCGCTAGCCCGTAAATTAATTAATATATTATCTCGCTCACATGTTTATAATAATATAAATTTGATTTCATTATATATATTTATTCATTGATATAAGAAAAATAACAATTTTACGCAATCTTGTTCCTCGTATAATACTTATATTATTTCATTATAAAATTTATTGTAGTATAATGTCATTATTATTATAAGTTATAGATGTAATCTTCTTCTTCTTTTTGTTTTATGTAATTAAAATATTTAATGTATGTTCATATTATTTATTAATGTAATTAATTTAAATTATGTAACTAAATTTAAAGTAAAACATTTTGTACAAACATTTTACAAAATATACACAAATGTTTTTTTAGAATTTAATTTTTTTACAATAACTAACAGCTTTGAAATTCTATGCAATTATTAAAATCAATTAAATCTGCTTTATTAAAACCGATTAAATCTTTATTTATAGGCTTGACATTAAAACCGATTTTATGAGATTATTTTAACTAAACCGATGTTATGGAATAAAATAAATTTATACTTACATTTCACTTTTACAGCAAAGGTAAAAAAATCGGTTCTGATTTTTATCCCATAACAAATCTTTAATGTCAAACTATAAATACCAAAATAAATCTGTAATTAATGTCATTCTATTTCCAGCAAACATTAATTACTTTTGACTTTTTTTTATACTAAATCTGGTAAATGGGATACCTTTTAATATAAGTATGGATTATGTGAGTGGATGAATAGTGATTTAAAGTTGATTTGATGTGTAAAAATGATTGCTTGATATTATTTAATTATATTGATAATATTGAGAATAGTAGAATTGAGTTAAAGTTGAGTTAAATTTAAATTTTGGTTGATTTTTTTTACTATTCAACTTATATCCAATCCCCCCCTAAAGATTAAACACGTCTATTTTTCATTCACACACTATTTCGTAATTATTTTCATGGGGAAGAAAATTTGTCCCATTCTCAAAATAAAAATCAAATAAAAATGTTATCCACACATTCATACTGGACTGATACTGAATTGAATCTCACATTACATCCAATGATCCAAGCAGCTTTCAACTGCAAGTCTACAAGGGCCTTCACTTACAAGTTACAACACTCAAGGGGAACTTCCTGAAAAAGGCCTCAGTAATACGATTTTGCGAGGATTGTTCTGGCAAAAAATCGATAAAAATAAAATAAGTTCTAATGATCTAATTATTACCATCTTGCTTCAAATTTTCAAATCAAATCAACACTTTCATAAAAAATGTTGGCATAAGATAGAATTCCAAAAAATATAATGTTTATTTAGATTGCAGAGTTTAAAAATTCCAAAAAATATTTAGATTGGTGAATAGTTGAAGTTAGGGCTGAATCATATCTCGGAGTTGACACGAAGCGGGCTTCGGGCCTGAGTCATTTGGTAGGGAGATGGACCCGACGGGCCTGAGAGCCCTCACCGCCATAACTTCATCATCTTTGCCGCTCCACCATCTCCGTTCCAGAGCTTATCCTCTTCTCCGCCGCCCTTTTCTCTCATCTCAAAACAAATCTACCCTTTCCGCCTTTCCTTTATTATCCCTATCTTCCTCGCTGTGCTCTTCATGTATGCACTTCTACAGCTTTCTTCACTAAGAAAGTCCGCATCTTTTTCCATTTTTCCCTCTTTTTCTCTTATGGGTTTGATGTTTATCTGGTAAATTGCAGCCGAAAGGTCCCCAGTGTGTGCGTCGCAGAATGGGTCAGATGGGTTTGCGAGTAGAGTTCACCCGAACAAAGAATTTCTTCAGGTGGTGCTGGTTTCGCCGCAGGTAATGTGTGCTGAACGATGGCCTTTTTTCTTCTTATAGCTTTTGTGGTTATTAATTTATGCGTTATTAATGTGAACAGTATGTGAGAAAGAGTAGCAGATTTTAGTTCCATTCAGTTCAGAGTTCAGATAATCTTGGGTTTGAATTTTATGTTTGAGCTTCAGATAGTGTTTTCATGTGTTTTGTTGGATAGTTTCTGCACCATTTAGTTAAGAGTTCAGATAATCTTGGGTTTGAATTTTATGTTTTGAGCTTCAGATAGTGTTTTCATGTGTTTTGGTGGATGCTTCTATTTTCTCCATATACTGGTTATAGAGTTTAGTATTGTTCTCGAATCGAAATTCGAAATCGACACTTTAATTTGATCTTGAGCCAACTTGAAACACAGAATGCCAACTGATGGGCTTTGTCCCGTGCTTGGCAGATTCCTGGGAACACTGGATGCATTGCTCGAACTTGTGCAGCCTCGAATGTCAAACTGCACTTAGTCGAAGTACTTACATTAATCCATCTATGCTCTGTGTGTGATGATATTGTTTATCTGCTTGGACTTTTTCTACTAAAGCTTTTGCTTTGATCTCTCTCTCTCTCTCTCTCTATTTCTTTCTGGACCTATTACTTTCCTGTTTCAGCCACTGGGGTTTCAAGTTGATGATGCGAAGTTAAAGCGAGCTGGGCTCGATTACTGGCCGTATCCTTTGTGATAATTCTTGTGCGTTTTTAACATGGATAAATCGAGCATCTAATATAATTTTGTATCCACAACTATCCCTACACTCTCTGATATTTCGAACCATAATCAGATGATTTTCTTGATAATGCGATTTATAATTTAGCTCGTTTGTGAGACTTGAAGGTCCTAGGTTCGAGAGTATTTTAAATACTTAACTTAGGAGATTAGATATGTTGTTGTGAAGGTGCATCGTTCATGGTCTGAGTTTCGAGACTACTTCATGAAACAGGTTTTTCTCTTATCTCCCTCTATCGTATTAGCATTAATTTATTAGAGTTACAAGTTATTGTTCCTCTTACTGATTTGAGATTCAAATGTTGATCATAATTAGGAAGGTGAGAAGCGGCTATTAGCATTCACTAAGAGAGGGATACATACCCACTCAGTAAGTTCTTATGTGGTCTAAGGAAAATGACCTGAAAATTGAAAAATACAACCAAATTGAGTGAAACACGTTACCACAAAAGAATATCGGCAGGGTATTTGCACATTTGAGTGAAAATTGTTTNCTCTCTTCTATTTACCCAAAATCCAAGGCTTTTCTAAAGTATTTAGTATACCAAATCTTTATGATAAACATTTTGAATAATGTCAAGGTAAGGTTCTTGATAAGTTTATCAACAAATAGGTCACCTTCATGCAGGAATTTAAGTACAGAGCAGGTGATTGGCTTGTTTTTGGCTCGGAAACTAGTGGCTTGCCACCTGAGGCACTTACCGATTGTAAGGGTGAATTACTCGGTGGAGGCACGATTCGGATTCCTATGGTTGAAACCTATGTCAGATGTCTGAATCTCTCTGTAAGTGCCGGCATTGCTTTGTACGAGGCATCTAGACAGCTCGACTATGGAAACCTTCAAACTCCATCACAACCTTGTATTAGCAAAGATGCGTTGGTAATAACTGAGGACATTTTTGCTTGAGTTTTATGCCAATACCTGATCTGAAGTTTGTGAACTTTCTCTAGGGCATATCACTGTTGTATTATTTAGTTGCATTAATTCTTGGCTAAAGTTAGCCTAGGTTGGTATCGGGGATTTAATTTTGTTTGATAAAGTCATCATAATTTAAGAGGATTTGATTGATAGGCGATAGCAAGATGTTTACTTTTATCTTCAGCTGATTACATTTGCATCATTGTCCATTTTCTTATAATTTTCCATTCCAAGACTGGTATTGTCCGTCTGATGTAGCACCAGTTTTGCCTTCATTTGAGTCCAATATATATAAACCAAAATATTACTCAAGCTTTTCACCATATACATAATCTTCTATAGCCAATTTAAACTCAAAGGATCCATATAACTGCATTGAAACCATGAGGCATCCTGACCGATAAAATATTTAGCATTCACCCTCAACAATTATCAAGGGTCCACAAATCACCACAATGAAAAATATCATCCCCTACTACTTTCAACTTTCACAGGCAATATACATGTTTTCCAAATTCAAAACCAGCAAGTAATCCATGTCTATAAATAACTGCTTCCACCAAACAATGAAGAAATGCTTCCATCTAATAACAAAAGTATACCAAAACACAAGCTACAAAAACGGAAGTGCACTCAAACAAGAATATACCCATTTCGAAACAAACTGAAATAGGATAGCATCCTCTACACAATCTCTCTCTAAAACCTAGAAAAGCCACATAACAATCTGAATAACAAAAATAACCTCGAAAAAAAGGAGAAATGAAAAAAAGAAAAACACTCAATCGTCATCATCAATGACTTGAGTGCCCAACCCCTTCAACCCTGCTTCAGGAATCTCGGCAACTGTCACAAGAGAGTACATCTCCTCTTTGGCATCATCGTCATCATTCCTCTTTCTTTCAATACGAACACGAATCCTCCTGGGCACGCTTCGAATCCCACGGCTCCAAATGTGCTTGTTCAGCTTCACATCAACCCGAACGTCTGAAGTCCACATGACCTTCTGGGCAAATCTCCTAATCTCCTTAATGGCCTTAGGTGCCTTCTTCTTGAAGGTACTGCACATGAGGATTCATGTTAGCAGCAGAAAGGATCAGATAATGGATACATAATGTTGAACTGTAGCAATTGATGATTTTAATGCACAAATACTATCACCAATTCACCATACAACAACCTCTCGATTAATCACAAATACTATCACCAATTCACCATACAACAAGAAAAAGACTTAACTTTCATATATTAAGTAATTGAAAATCGTTATACGAGGGTGAATTTCCTTAAACAAATACAACATGAAAAATTCAAACTGATCGTTTCTGCACAAACGAGCTTCAAAGAACCACCTATTGGTAACAAATCCAAGAACATCTACAACGACAACAAAATGCTTACTTAACACCAACTACATGAACAAAAGCTTAATCCCAACAGTTGAAAAACAACATTTTCAGTTAATAGGATTTTAAAGTCCCAATGCCTCCATAACAACACATAACTGAGCGCGCGGAGAGAGAGATAGAGAGATTACCATCCATGGAGGCGTTTGTGTAGATTGATTGTGTACTCCCTGGTGATAGGCTCCACCGCCCTCGGTCTGCCCATTTCCTTCATTATCGCCGCCGCTGGTGCTCAAATGCACGGCCTGTTTTCTCTTCGCTGTGAATTCTGGATCAGGAAGAACAAGAAACCCTAGATTTGAGTGACCGAGTTTTATTTGCTGAATTACCGATTTACCCCTGTGGGCTTTTCGTGTGTCTGTTCCAAGCCCATCTCTAGTTTTGGGCTATACTCCACTTTACAGTAAAAAGCATTTGTGAGCCCAATATCCAGACACGGGCTCATTTATGTAGGCTTTGTGAGCAACCAGAGATAATCAAACAGGCGGGAAAAAAAAAAGGAGCAAAGGGGGCGAAATTAGGGTTCGGCTCCAGATNCTTTACTTATGGGTTTTTTCCTATCTCAGTCGGGCCGAAAAGAGACTGTTTTGGATTTGGCAAAGTTCGTCGACAAGGGTGTGCAAGTCAAGCTGACCGGTGGAAGACAAGGTTGGGACTTTTTTTTTGGTTAATTTACTTCATCTATTTGGATAGTTTATGAGTTTCGACATAGGTTGTAGTATCTTCATCTTTAGTCTCTTATAAAATGTTTTTATTTTCATGACTTGTTAGTTTCTAGATGGGTAAGGAGTAACATAATAAAATTTGGTGACTATGAATGGCTTCATGAAGATTCGTGTGGTATTATATCATGTGTTAACCTTTTAAGCTTCTGATGACGCTAAAGGGATGTGTAAAGTTGCATTCTGTGAATGCTATAGTAGTGCCAACTTTTATTCATCTTTCTAACTTTGCAAAGAAGGATTTGATTCAAGTAGTAGCTGCTAAGTTGGAAAATCAAGGAGATTTATTGGATTTTGGAGAACTGAATACAACGGGACATAATGTTGGTGACATTTTATTCAAAATGTTATGTTGATCTTAAAATGATAGCTATTAATGTATTTACTCAGTGGTGGGCCTTTGATAGATTGTCCAATGTGGGACTCCTTTGAAAAACATTTTGAACTCTTAATGCAGTTACTGGTACACTGAAAGGATATGACCAATTGCTGAATCTAGTCCTGGATGAAGCCGTCGAATTTCTTAGAGGCAAGTAACCTATCTATCATTGGTGGTCTCTCTTTAGAAATAGAAAATATTCTAACAATTGGCTCATGTTTCATGTTATACCTTGTGTTTTTTGATATGCATTGGCCAAATTTCGTAGATTCAAGCGGTTGATTGTTGCACTCAGAAGTTTGATTTTACTTTATCACGGATAAAGAATCTTGATTAGATGCATGTAATGATGACTTGATTCACATATGAACCATAAATAATTGAGTTGAACTTATATTCGATCTGTCTGCAGATCCAGAAGACCCCCTGAAGACTACTGATCAGACTCGTCGCCTTGGCTTAATAGTAAATCTCAATACTCTCTGGGCATAATTGCAAATCTTATTTGTGCATATGTTTAAGGAATATGATTGGCCCTTCGTTATCCTTGATTCGATTGTACGTTTTTGGATTTACTTGAATCATTGTTATGATCTTTAAAAGGTCTATCATTATATTTTCTTAATTCAAACAAAAAAAAATATAGTTCGAGTGTAGTTTTCTCTAATACTTAATACTTCATCTCTTTTATCATTCTTTCACCATAACCCTTATATTCTCCCTAGTTAGCTTTCTCCTTACCGTTTGAGCTTTTGGGGGAAAAAAAAACTACTCATTATCTGCATATACATGTAGCGAATCATCTCCGTTTTATTTACGTTACTTGATCTCATGTTCTGGCTCATCTTAATTTCGAAAGGACATGTGGAATTGATGTATGTACACACCTTTTATTTATTTATTTATATTAATTTACTTGTGAATCTGATTGCAGGTTTGTCGAGGAACGGCTGTGATGCTTGTTTCCCCAACTGATGGGACAGAAGAAATTGCTAATCCATTCCTTCAGTCTGATGGGGCATAACATAATATATATCTCCAGTTTAATTAGTTCCCTACTTTTCTGGGGACATTGTTCTGAATCACGCTAATGTCTCTCTCACCCTTTCGACTTAGTCTTTATAATGTTGTCAGGGAAGAAAATTTAGTCGATCGTTTGGTTTATATTTATGGCGAAAAGAGTTTTGGTAAAGATTGTAGTTGAAATTCACCCAATTTTTCTCTTTATTGATTACGGAACTTTTATCTCGGTTGTACTCTCCCTTGACGAGTGTGTTTACTATTTTGATGAATTTTGTTGTTCGTTCCTAGTCTTAATGAGTCAAAAAATTTCTTATAACTTAATCCATAACAATCTTCGCATAGAATCCACAAATCCTTGTAGTTTATAGTTGGCTTGCTTTCATTAGAGCTTTCACTTAGAGTGAAACCACTGCACCCCGAAATAGATTTTATCTACCTAGTGACTTGTTCGGGAATTCAATCAAATAAGCCCTTTTAACTCAGTGGTAGAGTAATGTCATGGTAAGGCGATGAGGGGCTTTTCATTTTTCCCTAAAAGCCCAACCCTAGCATTCTAGGTACTATTGGGCTTTTCCTTTTTTTCATAAAAGCCCAGCCCTAGCATTTTAGGTACTATTGCATGTAACGTAAACTTGGCGGTTCTCGAACCATCATTGATTAGTGAACCGGCAGATCCATTTGCAACACCACTGAAAATATTACCTGAATGGTAATTCTTTCCCGTATTTCAAATACTTCGTACATTGTTCAATAAATTATGGGGCGTTCTTTTAATCATTAAGCCGACAAAAAATACGTACTTAAAATCGGTTTGAATTTTGCACGAGTTTTACTTGAGATTTTAATTGAAAAATATTCACTTATATATATCTAGGTGATTTTATGTATACTAGTACATAGCTTGTGCGATGCACGAGACATAAATAATAAATTGCATATATTAAATCAATGGAGAAACGTTGATTAGTATTAAAATAGTTTTGAATATTAATATTTTTTTAGTTATAATATATAATAATTTAATATATGCTTTATATGTTAATTTCACTCGTTCTAAATTAGTTATCATTTTAGAGTTCATATTTATATTTGATGATAAATGAAAATTTAACATATTCAAACCTTATCAATAAATAATACTCACATAATATATATAGTGCTTTGTAAAAAAAATGAGAATAAATCATAGTCAGTAGAGGCTAAAAGAAATTAAAATTATACCATTATTAAGGATTATGTGATAATTTCCACACACAAATAGTGGGTCTCATCACACCCTCTCTCATTCCCCCCTCTCTCTCTCCATACACACGCCACGTCATCACCACACACATAAAACACACGCACCCACACAAACACTCCCACCCCACACACAAAACAGACGCACACACTCCCACCCACGCACATATCTGCACACACAACGTCACGCCGGCAGCAGGGTCGCTGCCGCCGTTTACTAAGTCGACGATGAATTTTGAATTGATTTAAATATTTAACAATCGCAATTAGCTTCAAAATCTTTAAACCAAATTAAAATTCATTGTTTATCGAGTTATAAACCTTTTTAGTATCATGTTGGGGTGTTTCATTGATCTTAAAGATTGATTTAAAGATTGATATAATGATATTGTCTTCCCATGAGCTTCAAAAGCCTTACATCAATTACAAAAATAAATAAAAAATAAATCGTTTATTGAGTAAAAAAAAAAAAATTATCTCCTCTATGAAGAGAAAAAAGATCTTCATGCAAAATTTAAAAACGAGCATATTTGAGAGGAAAAAAAATATAGCATAACAAATTCGTCTGATAATAGGAAAACCACACTATAAGCAAAATTTTCATGATCACATCAACGTGTCAACAAACATATTATTCACTCTGTGAACTTATTTTTATCTTATTTTTATTTTAATTAATAAAATTAAGATAAAAGGAAGAAAAGAGAAACAATTACATATATATTTTCTACCCACACTCCCCTTCAAATTTCGTCCAGTTACAGAAACACGATTCTCGCGCGCAGAGAAATCCGCTGTGAATGATGTGCGACGGTCTTTCTAAATCATCGCAGAGGCTCAACGACGTCGTTCCAACCCGCCTTTTTTAATTTTTTTTCTCAACCTTTTTAATTCAAATTTTGACTAGTTTCGCGGCCTTGACCACCGGATTCTCCCTCGCGATCGCCTCCCGGCCGGCGGACTTGTAGTCATAGCTGCAGTCGTGGCGGTCCGAGTACCGGTGGCTCGCGCAAAACACCTCCCCGCAGCGGCACCTGAATCCGGCCAGCCCGACCTTCCTCCGGCAGCCGGAGCAGCGACTCACCTCCCTCCTCGCCGCCTCCGCCTCCTCCTTCCCCGGATCGCCGCTAGTCTGAGGCAGATCCGAGGTCCCCTCCGGCGAGGACCGCGCGGTCGAGCCGGATCTGAGCGATCTCTCCGCGGAGTCGCGTCTCCTCGCCTCCGCCGTCAAATTGAAGCATTTCTGGCAGAGGCTGCTGGCGGCGGGGGCGTGGCTGCCGGCGACGCCGCAGCTGACGCACAGCGCGATGTTCTCCGGTACGATCTTGAGCTCCGGCTCCTCGTTCTCCGTTCTCTGCGCCATTTTTTCTTTTTCGATCAGATCCAATTAGGTGAGGGGAAATGGGTGAAATTATTAAAAGGTAGAGAGAGATAGATGGGAAAATGGTGAGGGTTAGAGAGAGAAGGTGGGCTGGGAATTGGGATTTAAAGGTCGTTGAGGTCGGTCGCGGTGAAGGAATAATGGCCTTTTGTGGACGCAAATGGGGCATGTGGGTCGGTTTTAAATTAGTCCGAAATTAATGTATGCTCTCCATATACTGTTACTTCGCTAAGGTTCGAGCTTAGTTTTATTAAAAATATATATATATATATATATTTTTATAATTTTATTTCATAAAAATAGTTAAAGTTTGAATTCCGCTCGTTAATATTGAAAATCATTACTATTGATTATATTGATAAATCATAATAGTATAAACTCTTTTATCAATTCAAATTTCAATGGCATGATTGGTAGGAAGGAATGACATGAGAATGGAATGATCATTCTCTTACTCATTCTTTATCATATGATTAGTATATTTTTTAGAAAGGAATGACAAAACCCATCTCCATGGGATTAGCCATTCCATAGAAAATAGAAGGTTTTCTCATTCCCATGTGTGTAGGAATCAATTTTCAAAAAATAAAATTAATAAATAATAATAAAACTATAATATATATTATAAATCATGATTAAAATATATTAAATAAAATTCAAATAAAAAAATTAAAAACTTACTTTTATTTATTTTTTAATTAGATATATTAAATACTTATATAAAAATAAAACTAAAAAAAAAACATTTATATATAATTTAAAAATATATTACTTTTAAAAATATATTATTAAAATTATATAATTAAAAAATATTATTACAAAATATTATTTTAAAAAATAAAAATAAAATAAAAAATTGAAAACATACTTTTATTTATTTTTTAATTAAAAAATAAAATATGTATTATTAAAAATATATTACTTTTTATTTTTATATATTATTAAAAATATATATTTTTTATATATAATTTATAAATATTTTATTTTATTTTTATATATTATTAAAATATATTATTTTTATATTATTAAAAAATATATTATTTTATTTTTATATATTATTAAAAAAGAATTTATATATAATTTATTAACAATATATTATTTTTTAAAAAAGCTTTTATTTAATTTTATAATAACAATGATNCTCTGTTAATATTTTATAAGATATTGAAGGTGACTGATATTTTATGAATTTTGACATTCGATTTTTACGAATTTCCATTGAGGCTTTTAAGTTATAAATTGTAGGCATTATGCAGCAAACTGATGACATGACACTCTGTTTTGCGCTATTTTACGTTGTATTCTTGTAATGACATTTAAACAAAAAAATAAATAAATAAATTAGAACGTGTAGTTTTTTAGAGATTATAGTCATATTTTCAAGTGGCAACTCTAATTAAGAATTTTTATATCAGTTTGAAAATTCAAAGTCCTAAGTTATATAGTGCAATATTTATCGATTTAGTTCTATTATATTATTTTATTTTAAATATTTAACATTTAAAGTAAAGAATAAAAAAGCTCATATATGGTGGTTAAAATTAAATTGAAGTAAAATTTAATTAAAACATACTTAAAATAAATTATGACTTATTTTATTAAATTTCCGTTCTTTGTTTTTAGCATATTCGTTTTATTATTTTAACATTCATATTATGATATTTACATTAAATATATATTTTATAATATTAAGAGATCATGGCCATCTAATTGATTACTATAATTACGAGTATTATTATTATTGTTATTATTATATGGTGAATATGTGTTGAAATCACGTGTAATTAAATTACAATAAAAATAAAGAGTCCGGCAATTATTATAACTGAAAATATTGAAATCATGTCAAAAAACCGAAATTTCAATAGAAAAAACAACAGGCGCGCGGTTGTAGTTAGGATAAACATTACTATAGACATCGAATCTTTAATATCTTATTAATTAATCTATTTATTTGTTTTTCTCGCATCACTCTTAAATTACAATTACCACTTGTTGTAATCGTGTTAGTGAATCCAAACATCGACATTATGCTCATAAAATGATTGTCATCACAACATAAGATGCGCAACATGACTCTTAAAATTGTAAAATATTTGACTAAGTTAATTTAAAAAAATATTTCAAAAATTAAATAATTTCATTACTTGTTATTGATTTTTCATATATGATATATCATATTATTCATTTTTTAGCAATTTTCAATTCGATATTCATATTACATATATAAAAGAAACTAATTTTTTTTTTTGAATAATTTTTTTATATACGAGAGTATTATTTGCAATGAGTTAGTATCGGAGACCAGCGGCAGATATATAATTTTTGGGTAGCCAGGGCAAAATGAAATGATCTTTAACTCCCTATTTACTTTTCCAATTATTATAATCTGTAGCTGTGAACGTCGCTACCCCCTTGGTCACCATGTTCCGGGATAACAACAAAAGCAAAATAAAACATCTTTTTCTATGCTATACTCTAACCATTCAACATGATCATCAAACCAAGAAGAATTAAACCTGCGCTTAGTCCTGTAGATGTCTCGTTGAGGAAATTTATGGCTTCGAGGTTGATAGGGGCCCTTGAGTAGATAACAGCGTCTAACTTGAGCTTCCGGTGTGCCGAGTCTGAAGGGAGATTTTTCGGAAATTTACCAAGTTCGATACTATTTGAATTTTCGCCAAGTTCGGTGGTCTTTGAATTTTGATTGTCGAGCTTACTTTTCTTCTTAGACTACAAAAGAGTTGAAAGTTTTTCCGAATTTGATACTTTTCGGAAGTACAATGTAAATCTGCAATCATTAATCAACAATTGATTTCTATTAACATAAAAATATTCCAAATTCAAACATCAACAGTCAGTCATTCAACAAACTCAACAAACTCTAATAAGTGTGATTTTTGAACTAATAATTCTGTTTTTGTACAAGTTACAACCTAAACCAACCATGAGCCCACCAAAACAAATCAATTCAATTCAGTTCTTTCTTGCACAAACTGTACGCATAGCAAATTACCGAGAGGTCCGCAGTCTGCTCAAGACGAAATTGCAGTATAAAGGAAAAACAAACAGAATATAATACAAATAAAATCTGAGTTTAAAAAAAAGTGATATGAATAGTTGAACTTATACATACTACCTCCTATTCTTTTTAAATGTCATTTTGGCTTTATCAACTATTAACCAAAATAAACGTCGTTTTTGATCTTTTGTACATATTTTTTTCATTATTATCCTCATTTAGTTAATAAATACACTACGTTTTTTCATATCCTTTTCATCTTTTTTTTTTTTAAACATACATCTCTATCTTCATTAATGAGGGTTATTATTAACAAAAAATTTATTCATAATTAGTGTGCAACTTCCCAAAACGACACTTATTATGAATAGGAGGGAGTATAAAACACTTACATTAGAACTAAAGCGTAGAAATTCAATCAAACTATTCAACAAATATGCACTCCCTTTCCGTCACTTCANATTTTAAAAAAAAAAAAAAGAAATTGTCTTACCAGTCGTCTTCTTCCTTGCGCCGTGTGAATAGACTCTCTTTTGCCATCTACCACTAGAAAAATTCAATTAAAATATGCCATAATCTGTCTTTAGCATTAAAATTTCAGCCTGGACAGTTGCCCAGACTCGCGTATATATAGATCCGCCCCTGAGACGTACGAGCCTTATGATTAACGAATGTCATATTAAATAAAAATATTTGTATAATTTTTTAAAATATTAAAAATTTGAAAATCCATTTAATTTTATTTTTTTAATATTTTACAAGTATAAATTTATTAATTAACACTCAATCACACATCCTCTATATATTAATTCAAAACGTGCTGAGCCTAAGTGACAGACTCACACGTTTTGGAATCATATGTGTCAAAATATCATGTTTTGTATTTAGGTTCGGATAGAAATTTTGGAAGCAAAATTAGTTTGGAATCAACCATAAATAATTATTTCATCTTTTATTATTGTCTCCCATAAATCTCTATTTCATTACCACAAATCTATTGTCTCTCATACTTAGATCTCTCTTACATTAATGTTTCTTATTTAATTCATATAATAATTGTTATAAATATGTATTATTTTTATTTTTAAATCTTTATAATTTTTTTATTTGTATTTTATTTTTTGTATATTATATTTTAAAATAATCATATTTTGACGATATTCGATTTGACATTCATATTGCATATATAAAATAAAAAATAATTATATCTTTCATTATAAATAAAACTATTTTTTTTAATAAATAATTTGAAAAATATAAATATGATATAAATTGTTCTATAATCAATATAATAAAAATCTAATTCAATAATACACCATAAAACAATTATTTTAATGCATTTTTTCATAAATTTTAAATAAAATAAGAAAATTAAGTATAAAAATACGGGCTCCATTTTAAATTAATTACGATTTTGTTAGTTATTCATTATTTTTATATATTTATTATACATAATCTTACAATAAAAAAATAAATTATTTTATTTTTTCTATTGTACAAATATTAATATATTTAAATACTTCACGCGTATCGTGGTGGTACTAGTTAATAATTAAAAATATTTATTTATATTTTTCAAGGGGATGATAAACCAGAGGAAAAGCTCCACCAGAAAATTTCCCGTTTCACCCCTACACCATTCGCCGTTGTAAATAAGTAAATAACCAAACAACGTAGGGTTCGAAGTGTTTTTCGTCACTGCACATCGTTCTTCTTCCTTCACGAGAAAACCTGCGAAGGTCACCACCCAACCATTACAACCGATATCCACAAAAGTTTTTCGGAGTAATTCATTGTTTGATCACAATTTGGGATGAGATATTCCTAACCTCTTATCGTTAATTATTTCCCAATTATCAATTTTGATTGAATGTGTTCATGTATTTTTCCATTAAAAGGTTCATTAATTTCTGATTGTGGCAATAATTTGCTAAATTGTTGGTTTCCGTTCATATTAATGGTGCTTGAGATACCCTTTTAGGCGTCGGAGTTGCTTTGCTGAGTGATAAGCGGATGAATTTGCGTTTAGGGTTTTAGGGCAATAGAATTTTTTTGAGGGTGCAGTAATGGAGGGAGATAAACGGACATTTAGGGTTGATTTAACGAGTGAAGGAGCTTCGAAGCTTCGGGATGCTATCAGAGTGAAGCTCAAGGAGTTCATGGGCGATTACACGGACGATACTCTCGTGGTATGAAATAAGTTTTCTCAGCAAGATTTAAATGAATTTTTTATCTTCGAGTGTTTCGTATTTGAGAATTTGTCAATTGGGGAGCTGGAATGCATAATGCTGTTTGTTTCCAAGAATTCACATGCTTAGGGGCTTATTTGTAACTGTGAATTTGCGGTAGAAATTGGATCAATTCAGTGTTATAGATCATGTAATGAGGTTGATGTGAACATATCTGGAGAACAAATGTAGTGTAAACGAGAAGAAAGTGGTTTTCTTCAAGTCTGCTGGGTCAAATTGATGGGGACATTCACTGAAAGTTTGTTTGCTTGGGTTAATTGACATTATAGACTCGAAGCTCGTTACTGAACAATTATTGCTGTAAGGCAACTTTGATGTGTTAGCCTGATGAACATTATTGTTCTTATATGATGCATGTGGAATGGGCTTCCATGCTGGTTGTCAATATGAAAATAGAAATATAGAACTTGAAGTATATTCCTGTCATCGGAGGTGCATATTTTCTCAGATAAATGAGTTGTCATAGAAGTTGGAAATATGGTTCAGTTATGTGATTATATGTGTTTTACAAATGTGATGCATGTGTTCTTTGCTTTGTCTATTACTATAGGACTTTATGCCTTCAGGATGACAGTGTGACTCGGTTAAATATGAGTTTGTTAATTAACCAATCTATGTCAATACATTCAGGATGATGAATTCAGTATGTTTTGTATTTGATAAGCATGGCTCATTGTGGGTGGTTAATAATATGAATATTTACAAGATAGTGTTGATTAGTAATTGTTTGTTCTTCTAGGATATTACTATGCATTTGATTCCCCTATCTTATTTTTTTGCATTAAATTTCACTTTCTTCTAAGTTCAAAAGAGCAATGCTGTTTATACCTTCACGACATCCTCACTTCTTGTGATATACTGGAGTCACTTTAAGTTTATTTTATTTTATTTTATTTTTTATTTTATTTTTTTTCTGGGTTTGAGGATTACCAACCAATATGTGTTTTCTTTCATTTCCTATTATTTTGTATCAGGGGTGTGATATACGTGTCCCTCATGTGGAGTTGGAACTTTAAAGTTTATGGTCCTTTATTGGTTTCGTGTCATCCTTCTTTTTTTTCATGAACAGACTCATTATCTTGCCATGTTTATGATATTCTGTGGTTTGTCTCAGGAATATGTGATAGTCTTGCTAAAAAATGGTAGATCTAAGGATGAAGCGAAGAGCGAGTTGAATGTTTTTTTGGGTGATGACAGCGATTCTTTTGTCTCCTGGTGAGTTTTACTTCAGCCTCCAATAATCATATATGCATGAGTAATAGACATTGTTCACCGACTTTGACTAACCATTAAATGTTGCGCTCAGGCTTTGGGATCATTTAGGATCTAATGTAAGTCTATATGTGCAACCACAAGGACTTCAATCAGAAGGAGTGTCCAAGACAAAGCCGGTACCAGGGAATGAGGCTGGAAATACTGAGACATATGAGATTCAACCTAAAGCTGATAAAGTGAATTCTGTCAAATCACATAGACACCGTAGCAATCCTCCATCCAAAGGGTTAGTGAGGGACAGGGATGACAATGAAGTCCTTCCTCAAAACAGTGTTGATGGCATTGAAACTTCCAAGAACGAATGGAGGGTTCGGCCTACAAGTCATAAGAAGAGACGGGGAGCTGAGGAGCAGCAACCTAGAAAGGTAAGAACTTCTGTGTCAGCCTATTTGCACCAAGAACCTGGTCATGATGTACTACTATATGAGTGAACTGTGAGGCATTGGCTTTCACTTGATGATTTTGTTGAAGATTGGGAATTGTTTAACGTTCTACAGACAATGATAACGTCTGATATTCTTCCTCATTTATTTATAGTTTACTGAGATCACAAAACGCTGGCAGATATACGAGGTTGTATCACTTGAAACTGGGTGCTGGTTTTCGAAACTAGTATTATGTTTCTGATCCTTTTTCCATTTTGCTGATTCTTCGGATTTTTTATGGTTACATGGACATTTAGTGATGCTCTGCTTTGACCACCAGTGTTATTGGTCAATTTTATGTTAAAATTTATCTCGGATGCAATCGTATAGCATTCAGTTCGTGGGGATTCATGCACTGAGAGGGACGAGATGCATGTGTTTAGCTTTTTAATTTGATACCCTCTGCTGCTTCTGTACCAACTGACCCATATCAGTTTTTGGCCCTTTTCCCACTTACAAATGTGCTTGTTTTTGGGGTCTCGAAGCAGTCAACCATCTTTAGAATCTTACTTTAGAGGTAGTTCTTTGGCGTGTGGTCCGATATTTTGGTACTTGAATTTAGCTTTGAAATGATTCTTACTATATTAAGTGCTAGGTGTGCATATTTCACTGGGGGTGGTTGCTTGCTTTTATATTGAACCTTCCAGATCCTTTAGGAATCAAAATGAATCTTCTATATGCGAATATACTAACTGAATTATCCTATTGTACTAATCAATGTTAAATTCATCGGTATAGGACCTCTAGTTTATAGCTTCCTTTTCCTTTGGTAAACATTCATTGAATGCTTTTATATTTGACAGAGGGAAGTTTCCCAGTCAACTGTCAGTGCTCCAAGACGTCTGCTGCAGTTTGCTGTACGTGACGCCGTTGGTACTTCTAGGCCATCCATTGCAGCAGAGTCCTCACGCAAACGACTGAGGTCTGTGGTTTCTACATCAACTGGGGACTTATTGCCGGAAGAACGCCCTCAAAGAATTCCACGTACTTTCATATCTGTGGCCATTAAAGCTGCAGCAGAGGCAGTCGAGGATGTGAGCAAAACCAGGCCTTCCCATAATGTGTTTGATAGGCTTGGTCACACACCCGATGTTCCAAATACTGCTTATGATCAAGAAAATGAACGTGTTGCTGAAGTGGGAGATGGCGATTTTGGTGTTGCAACAGAAAACTTCGACTCGGGTTATCGTCCACAAAATGATGGCAGCATGCTGCAAGCAGTGAATATGTCGCCTTTTCATGAAACTATTTTGGATTCTGTTTTGGGAGATGATGGGGAAGATTATGATGATATTGACGATAGGGAACCAGATGCCACAGATGTAACGAGGTTAGGCACATCTGGTAGAAAGTGGATAGATAAATCCCTAGCATACGAGTATGATGCTGCTGCTGAACCAATTAAAGGTTTGGGTCCACCGGCAACAAGGCGCAATCCTTCCGTTAGAATTGCTTCATCTGTAGGCCTGAATACCAGGAAAGCCCAATATGGGGAAAGGGACGTGTCTGAGATGGATACTCATAAAAGATCACTAAGTAGTGCTACGGCAACTAAACCTGAGGTTCGGTTGTTGAAGGTGAACAGCAATCCTACACCAGTCTCTAACGGAAATGTAAGGAATTCATGCATGTTTTTGTTTTCTCCATTTCTTTGTATGTATTAGTTTTGGTTGCATGTAATGCAATAACTTTAATCCTTATCTGCTACTCATATTGTCACAGGCAAAACCTGATATGATCCAACAGCAGACTGAAAAAACTCGGGCTCCAACTGGTAAGCTTTGCATGCTTTCCCATATCTGGATTACTTGTATTTCGTTATTGTAAATAGATCGTGTTTTTTCTATCTCGTGTGTATGTTGTTGTCGAGCTGATTTCAAGCAATTTGTTCTATTTTGTTGCTTGTATTAATTGCCATGCATGGCTACCTTTTTTAGGCTATGTTTGGTAGACAAATGGAGCTGGAAGAGTCATTGTTGACAATTCTCCTGGCATAGTGCTAATAATGAACTAGATCAAAATGGCTCAATTAAATTCTAGTGCTTCTTCTATTAGTGAAGTTTCTAGAAAAAAAAATTATATATCAAATGGAGCAATGCACCTTGGGTCGCTACGGAAACAGCCTTCTTGTATAATTACAAGGGTAAGGTCTGCGTACAACTGACCCCCTAGACCCCAACCTGTTGGGAATATACTGGGTATGTTGTATTTGTATTGTTTGGTAGACAAATAAGGTAGCGTATAGCTTATTTGGTTAGCTTATAAGCTTCCTCTATTTAAATAAGCTTCGTTTGGTAAGATAAGCTTCCTCTATTTAAAAGCTTGAGCTTATCTCACAAGCTTCTTCAGGTACTTGTTGAAATTTTTATTTCAGCTAGCTTATCAACTAATTTTACCAAACACTTTTATTATATAAGCTAGCTTTTCAGCTATAAGTCATAAGCTATAAGCTTGAAAATTACTGATAAACTATAAGCTAGCTTATCAGCTAATTTTACCAAACATAGCCTTAATCGTCTCGTCTCTTCAACACTCAAACAAGCTTCAAAATTTGTTAGGATATCTGGCAGCAAATAATGCTAATCCTTTGTCTGAACTCTGGGTGTTCTTTCAGGTTTACAGAATACTGGACCACCAACTGATGGTGCTGATTCACGGACCATCTTTGTTAGCAATGTAAATTGCCCTGAATTTGGAACCTTCTGTTTAGAGTTGAAATCTTTTCTTATGTAAGCTCTATTTTTTTGTTCCTAAAGTACTCTTCCATGTTCCAGGTTCATTTTGCTGCCACCAAGGATAGCCTTTCACGACACTTCAACAAGTTTGGAGAAGTCCTGAAAGTTATAATTTTAACTGATCCGGTTACCGGACAACCAAAAGGGTAATAAGGAATCCAAATGCCTCATTTCTATTCAGTGCTTTTGATTACCTTTTTTAATATATTTTGTTTGTTCAGGTCTGCCTATATTGAGTTTATGAGAAAAGAAGCTGCTGAGCTTGCATTATCTCTAGATGGCACCTCCTTCATGTCTCGCCTTCTCAAGGTATGTGATTGAAGGATGTTAACTGCAGGACTTGTGTTCCTTTTCCTGTTTTGACTCATTTTTATGCTGCGACCAAGGATAT